TCGAGAGTGCAATAGCAACTCCATCAAGACTGCTTGAGACTCTCTTCTACCAATATTAGACCTTAAAACGGTAGATTAGATGTTTGAGGGATGAATTTTATTTTTCACGATATCTTATCAATTTTAGGAGATAAATCTTGCAAGAAGATATTGCTTTTTAGGCAGTCAATTGTATATTAGTAATATTCATATTATAAATATTCTATGAATATCTTTTTTCAATTAAAATAAATTCTATCAATTGATCTTGTAAACAAAGTCACTAAACATTTAATGCTAAATTAACATTGTTAAGATTTAAAAGCCTTTATAATTACTTATAAGTTCAATAATTTTATATGCAAATACTTCTTATAATTATTGAGAGATTTGATAAATTATCTTTATGTAGATTATAAGTTCAAGCATGGAATGAATTACCCTTTAATTAAGAGCATATCAAATGATTGGATCCATAATTTGAAGTTAAGCATTAGAAGGATATAAGATGAGTAGTTGAAGACAATAAAAAAACATCACTTTAAGACAAGGCTAAGGATTGGTTGCAATGGAGTTCACCAATAAGGCATGTTTGTGCTAGTGGTGACTGGTGGTTTAAATTTTGCTTGATGCTTGTATTAGCAAAAAATATATTTATTATTGATGTAGATCTATAATTATAGATTTTAATAATTAAATAGATTGTATATATTGAAGATAATTGTTGCATATTACATGGTTGTGTAATAATACATTATATCAAATAATTCTTTAGACTTAGTTGAGGATTGCTAGAAGTTTTTTTGCCATTAAAAATTGATGTCAATAATCATTCAATAATTTTGCCGATTTTCAATGCACAGTGTAAGACACTTGGTTCAATGTAGATTAAAATTTTATTATGAAACATCATAACTATTTTTGTTCAATTTACTATGTTTATGTAATAATTGCAATATATGGTGTTATATTATGTAAAGTTTGCTTAAAAATACACTAGGTACGTGGCTGTAGAAGATAAAATGGAATTTGCAATAAGAATGTCTTAACAATTCTAATAGAATCCTAAACAACTCCAAATAAATCTTAATAATGTTAATCAAGCTTTGTTCAAATCTAAAAAAAGTCTTAAAAAAATTACAAAAGAAACATAAATAAGTGATAAATTAATCTTAAAGAAATATATATATATATATATATATATATATAATAAATAAATTTTAAAAAAAATACTAAAGAAATATCAATAAAATCTTGAAATGAATTCTAAATAAATTTATAAAATAAATTCTAATCAAATCCTAATAAAATCTTAAATCTATTTTATTTATATAATAATAAAATCTTAACTAAATCCTAACCAATCATAAACAAAATCCAAATCTTAAACAAATCCTAAATAAATCTTAAATAAATATATAAAATCCTATGTAAATTCTAACCAATTCTTATACTTGTTTTAAAATCTCAATAATTATTTGTCAAACCATTGATCCAAATTAAAATCTAATCTAAATTTCAATCCACAAGAAAATAACAAATATCTAAATTTTAAAGAAAATCAAACTCATCAATTAAGATAAAAAAAAACTCCTTGACCTCTCAAACATTGGCTGCCATCTTTTTCCTACCTAGATACTAGTCTTTCTGCAATAATAAGTTCTTGTTGATCCTATCAATTGCTTTAGAAATTATCTAATGTATAGATTATTAAATCTTAAATTCTCTCATTAAATTTTTCTTTTTATTTAATTGGTAGATTTTTAAAATCATAAAAACCCTTATTAATTCTAAATTTTAAATATTTAAGATCTGAATCCAATAAAAGTCTCATATTCTTCAATTTAATTGTTTAATCAATATCAAATTTATCAAAGAAATTCAAGACAGTTACATTAATAAATTTACAAAATTTTACTTATAAATTTGCTATAATATTCTCACAATCCTTAATTTTATATATATATATATATATATATATATATCTATACATATATTTTTTTAAAAATCTAAAACCACCAAGTATATTTTTTACTTTTAAAAGCCTTCAAAAATTCAAGATGTATTCAAATCACTTGAAATCAATGCTCAAACAATCTTTCTAAAATTTTTGTTTCAATTGAAATCTTCAATCAACAAAAAAACCTTAGAATTGCTATAAGTATATAATTTTGTGCCTTATGATCTAATTTTAGATTTAATTCACAATTAGTCCTTTCCAAGTATCAATTCTTGGTATTTTGAGATAATATTTGCTAAAACCTATTTTTAACTCCCTCCCAAAGATGTTCATATCGATTTTTTATTTCATCAACTTTAATTTGTTTCATTTATGTCCCTATAAAGCAAGTAGAAGTGTCTTTTACAAGAAGGCAACATTGGCTCTTATTAATTTTTACTACCTACTTATCTATTATCTATATTTCTAAAATAATTTGCTAAAATACTTTTATTTAAGCTCTTCTATAATAAAGCCTTTCATTTCTTTTTTTTACCTAATGGTTGTGCTACAATACAACAATGGTTAAGTTAATGCCATTAATATTCTTTTTGGAAGCTATTTCTCTATTCAATTGGAATTTGATAGTAGTATGGTACACTATGCTAAATCAGTAATAATAATTGCACCAAGAAATTATTGTCCTTGGTCACTTCTTTGTTTCTTTGAAATCATGCTTATCTAATACAATACTCTTTTCTACAAAAAGTATTAATTGCACAAATATTGGTACAAAATGAAGTATATTTTTTTGTAATTGATATAATAGCTATTTCTAATAATAGATTTTTCTATCAAATCTTCAAATAATAACAATGTATTATTTTGATTAAAAAAACAAAGATCTTTGCTATTAAGATTTGGCCCTTTGTTTCATTGTATGATTGCATTGGTGCTTTCTATCTTTGTAGTGAGGTTTTTGGCACTTTCATCGTAGACTTGTTTTTGTGCTTATTTTTTCCTACAACAATACGACCATAGACCATGTTACTTACAACACTTATCTAGATTATTGTAATTGGAATCTACATAATAATAATAATAAAAATTAGTAAAAAGATGAAAACATACACTATACCAAGCATGTAAAAATATGAATACCTTTAGATGAAAAACTCTTCAACCTTAGTTTAGCATGCTTCTTTATGAGAAAGGCTCTCCATAATTTAAGTAGCTTTAGTTGAAATAATTCTTGGTCACTTCTATTTGTTCAAAAATTACATGCATTAAAGAAAGACAATACATGAAGCTCAAGAAGATTGAAATCCTATGTACTCTCAAGTAGTTTCCATAAGACTACACTTTGTACTCTTATGCAATGTCTTAAGTAAATGAGATTTTTAGACACAAAAGACAAGTTGTTTTTGCAATCATAGAGGATGATGATCCACCTCATCTATATTGAGGCATATTCATAAGCATACTACATGGAATAAAGTGATATAAGACTAAATTAATCATCACATGGTTTAGAAGTGTGGCTTTTCACAAATTAAGATGTGGCTTTAATAAATCTCTCTTTCTATATATAACTTATAATATTATCTTTTTGTATGATTTTTCTAAGAGATATCTAAATAAATCTTATTTTCTAAGTTCAAAACTATATCTTTGGATTTTTCATTAAGATTTTGTTTTTTTATTTATATATATATATATATATATATATATATTTGTTATTTCTTTCATATAAGCTTTAATCTAAGATATTTAAATAAAAATATCCAATCACAATTTTTACTATTCTTAGCAAATATTATCACAAATTGGTCTTCTAATTTGTTATAAGTGGATAATATAAAAATATCAGTATTTTAATTTTATATTTATTTCTCAATAGTTGATTAAGTATTGACATGATTTGGAATTTTATAGAATATCAATATATCATAGGTATTAAATCAAAATACCAACCTTGATATAATAAAATACTTTTAATAAGTTTAAAATTATAAAAGATTTAGGTTGTAAATATTCAATATTTATTTATTCAATGACTTGAAAAATTCATATAATACTATTTGTATATATTCAATTCTATATATTATTTTTAGTCAAATCTAATATTTATCAATCCAACTTCTATATGTATAGAACTAACAACATTGTTATAAGCAATATTGGATCTAATTAAAAAATTCAAAGGACATCTTTAAATTTTTTTAAAATAAGAAGATAAATTGTACATATCTTATTTTTTCTTACAATAATTGCAACATTCTTTCTAAATTGCAGAAGTCATATTCAACTCAAGTTATTAAATGTTCAAAACAACCACTTAAAACAAATTTATTGCACCTCTATGATCCTTATTATCAATCAATCAATTTCAAATTGTGCACTATCTAAACTTTTCTTGTAGATTAGACTAACATTTTGAACAATCATATTATTCAAAGTAGATTTTCACTTGCACTCAATCACACCATTGCCCCTTCAACTCAGAACACCATTTAATCAAATTCACAACACTAATCTGGAAGATTAATACACATTTTCATGAACCGGAGAGTGTGACACTTGAAGGGTCCTTCTATTCTCCACTTCTTACCAACAACAGTTTATTGCAGGACCACCTTAACATTCTTCACAAAGCTTATTCTCTAACTCATAAAACCCATCAAAACCAACCCATAACAACACCCTTCAAATCCTTTCAATTTCCACAACTGAAGTAACGACATTGAGATACTTCCCAAATGTGTACAGACACAAACTCAACAAGATGAGGAGTTACCAAATGGAATCTAAAAGAAGGCGAAAGAGTTCAGAGGAATGCACAGAAATTAGCAGAAAAAACAAAAACAAAAACAAAAAGGAAAGATTGTTACCCCACTTTGGGTGCATGTAGATGAACTCTGCCAATGAGAACAGCCTTGTTCATCCCCCTTGCAGAATTAATACTTTTAACGAATGTGACATGGTGCGATTGTAAAACTGGTCTCCAGATTAAGCGATGAAACCATTGCCGTTCTGCCACACGAACGTGAGGCAAGGCAAGGCAAGGCAAGGAAGATGAAAAAGATGAAAAAAATACAAAAATGTAGGGTGGTGAGTGAATGGTGTCAAGGAAGATTGTCAAGCGGCGTGCAGCGGAATCCGAGTTCCTGGCAATTCAAGAATGGGTTTTGTAATAGGATTGAGGTGATCTTGCTGAATTATTGGCTATCGAGGATGCATTGGCTATTTCGAGGGGAGGTGACTTCGTCAAGTTCCTAGCATTCCAGGTGGACTTGAGGGTTAACGGGGAAGTAGAAGAAGGAAGAGGAGGAGGAGGAGAAGGAGGAGAATGTTGAAAGAGGTGGTGCACCGGAGCCATCATCTTTGGCAATGTTTCCCTCGCCATCTTCATTGCCACGATTGGAGCCCCGTGAATTCCAAAGCTCGCAGCCGGAGTGGACGTGGGAGTGTTAGCTGGAGGAAGCCCCTGTTTTGCATGGCTAGTTATCATCGGGATGTGGTGTTGGCCACCAATGCCGTTCGCCTTGCGTCCCGCCTTTGTCAGGTATGTATGTCATTCTCGCCTTGTTGTTCATATTGGGTCCTGTTGGGTTTGTCGACAACGTGACCAATTCTAATGCAATCGGGTTGTGTTTGAGGAGGAGTTCATGTTTTCGGGTTCAGACCTAATTTTTTTTTCTCGTGGTTTGGGAAATGGGTGCACTCTTTGATCGAGAGTAAATTGGGTGTGGTTGAGGATTCGCGTATTGCAATCGGTTTGTGGGTCAATTTGTAGGATCTATCTCTACGGTGTAGCCGATGGGACATTGATTGGGACCGGTTTCTTGTATGTTGTTGTTGTAATTGAGCAAGTGGAGACTTTCGATGACTTGCTTGCGCTCCTCGACTTCAGTAGGCTCGATTGGAGGTTCTTTTCCTTGGGGATGATTTCTGGGATTGAACATTGAACCCTCGTGAACTGAGATTTTGGTTTTGCGCGGGTTGGCCGCAGACAGTGCAGAGAGGCTTGTTGACTCAGGAGACGCAAACCAAATCTGACAAGTCACCAGTCACAGTTGCCGATTATGGTGCCCTCACTAACCCGACATGGTTGAACATTTTTAGAACACAGCAGTCCACTCCAAAATGTGTGTGACGATTGATCCTGATGCTGGTTTGGATGGTTTGCTTTCAGGTTCACAAGCGCTAGTCAACTGGTCATTAGCACGGGAGTTTCCGCCTGGCACATTTTCAATGGTTGCTGAAGAGGTACTCAAATTTTGCTTTGTTCATTTGTTTCTGTAAAGTTATTGCATCTGTACTCTCATGGTATGATTCGACAACATGGCATAATTTTGCCATGTTGAACTGGTGATAGGGCTCAGAGGACCTGCGGACTGAGGCAGGGGCGCCAATGCTGGAGCGCATCACTCAGTTAGTAAACGATGCCATAGCGTCGGACGCAGCCCTAGACGTGGCTCCTCTGAGTAAAGAAGACGTATTGGAAGCCATTGACTGGGGTAATTCCGAAGGAGGTAGCAATGGACGCCACTGGGTTTTGGACCCCATCGATGGTACTAGAGGGTGAGAAAACATCTTGACCTTTCAGAGACTCCTTTGTAGCTTCTCTTCATTATTTTAGCTGAAGTGTGTGTCGATATTAATGATTTATGGTTCCATGTTTTAGGTTTGTGAGAGGAGATCAATATGCCATAGCTCTTGGCCTACTGGACAATGGAAAGGTTGTGGCTGGCGTTTTAGGTTGCCCTAATCTGCCGATGGGGTCCATCGCGAATGGTATACCTGCGAATTCAAGCGAACCTGTTGGTTGCTTGTTCGTCGCAAGCCTGGGTGCCGGCACGACTGTGGAACCATTGGATGGAAGCGGTGAGCCAAAACGGGTGCGTACTAGTCAATCTTCTCTGCATCGTCACGTAACTGAGAAAAAAAAGAAAAAAAAGAAAAAAAGAAAAAATTGCTGCTCAGCACTGGGTGTTTTCCCATGGTGACATTTTCTGTGACGCAGGTGCATGTGAGTGATGTTGAGGACACAGCCATTGCAACATTTTGCGAGTCTTACGAATCTGCGCACACCATGCAGGACCTTACAGCCAACATTGCAGGGGTATGCACTCCACTTCGTTCTGGAATATCTTTATCTTTTGTAGAGTTATTCATGCGTATCAAGTCCTGTTTTCGTCTCTGAGTAATTCGTTCTTCGTGTGTGAATTCAGACACTGGGAGTCAAAGCACCTCCAGTGCGGATCGACAGCCAAGCTAAGTACGGCGCCATGGCTAGGGGAGATGCTGTCATATATCTCCGATTCCCACACTTCGGATACCGTGAGAAAATTTGGGACCACGCCGCCGGAGCAATCGTCATAACAGGTATGATCATCATCTGCTGCTATGATTTTATCTAGAGATCTCACGTTTAGTGTTCTTTGATTGTCTGTGTCGACGTGTTGATGGCATTCACGTCATGGCATGAGATCATGGCTTATGCGAGGTTTTACCGAAATCGCAGAAGCTGGAGGAGAAGTGTTTGATGCAGCAGGTGAGCCATTGGACTTCTCCAGAGGTAGATGGCTTGATTTGGATACCGGTATTATTGCCACCAATAAGGAGCTGAAGCCTGTGGTGCTGTCAGCTGTACAGAAATGCGTGAAGGATCTGAAAATACCTGCCAAACACTGAGCAGTACTTGGTTTGGGTCACAGCTATTGTTTGTCAATTTGGGATTATCATGTCTAGATTCTGCTGTAGGAACTCAAAAAATATGTCAGTAGTTTTGAATACAGGATCGAAGCCGCCAGTGGATCCCTGGGTGTATTGAGCCTTGCAACAGTTGTAATTCTATCCTTGCAATTTAACTGTGATTCCCAATTGAGTTCTTCAAACTGCCTTGGTGTTCAACGTCTGAACGATTACGATTGAGATTTTTGAAAACTGTTATGGAAATATATGTAGATCAAAGCACGATTGCTGTTTTGGTTTTACAGAAGTATCTAGAAATGCTTAATTTTATCGTATTCAACAACTTGCCAACTTTCTTTGCTGATAGGCGAAATAGCAGCGCTTAGTAGGTCTTAAACTCTTCTCCCGGTTTAGGGCAAGAAAACAGGATCTCGACACGAATTGTTATAACACTGTTTTCTCTTAGGTGGTTGGGAAAAGAATTGCAGGAGGTGTAGCTATGGGGTTAGCAATTCTGCGGGCGGCAGATGTCCCGATCTGGACACTGGAAACCGCACGTAGCACAGTTGCAAAGGTCACTGATTACTGTGATTTTATAAACACCACTGCCACATGTAAGGTTCTTACCACTAACATTACTCCTATCGTATAAAATCATTCCGCCCTTGCACTCCTGAGATTCTTCTTGCATTCCCTGGGCCTGCATCGTTGCTTGTGTGTGACTGGATTTGTTGCTACGTCGTAGAAACTATCCGTGGGATTAAGAAGATCTACTTGAGGAACTTATATAGTTGTCCATCTATGTCAACAACCAGCACAAAGGCCACGGGCAAGGGAGACTTAGAGGTGAGGACGTGGGCGATTCGAAGTTTAGGGGGGAGCATAGTGATCACGTCGCACGAAAAAGGGAAATTTAGAAGTCTCCCAACAATTTCGTTCTGAAAACGATCGTTAGTTAAACATTGCGTCATTGTCGCAGCGGGGACCACTCTATGGAGATCTCGAGTTGAGCTTGACATTACACTCTTCACACCGTCGGTAGTGGGCACTGTCAACGACCACGTCGATTCAGATCAGAGGTTAGATTCATAGAACATGAAATCAAGGAAACTTGAGCGTCGAAACCAAAACAAATTGCGAGACAACTTGCCGGATGCAATGGCGCACCGAATCCTCGAGCTTCCGGACACCAGAATCTCCCAAAAGTTTCCAGAGGACGCTCGAGGGGCGAGTCGAAAGCGCGTAGTATTCAATGCTCTGGACTGATTCCCTTAGCGAGAACATGAGAATGATTTGTTGAATATTTCTCACTTGGACCAGACACCATGTGCTTCGTTGCTTCGCAGAATTATTATTTTTTTGTCTTGCTGCAAATAATTTCAAACAATGTCTTATGCTTTGTCAAGTGGGTACGATGAAGAGCTGACGAGTTGGATTTTAGGTGAAGTCAAGGCCTGGCATTGTAGTTGTCTTTGAGTTTGGAAAGGTCAGAGTTCGGAAAGGCAATTTGCGACTGCAACCCAGTCGTTTCACCAAGCAACGACGACATCCTTGCGCATGCAGTGGCGCTCTGAGGCACTTTTTGTGATTCAGCCAGAAATTTTCTCTAGTCTGTTGCAGACTTGAGCGTTCGGTGCTTTATATCCCTTTGTACTGTGGTGAAGGTAGTGATCTAACAATGAGTTCTTCGAGCTTGAGGCATTGGGTTTGTTTCTTGGACCAACACCAGCAGCACTTAATTCTCTTGTATCAAGGCTTATGGACGCTTCCAAGTCTACTGTGAGAATGAGCAATTTTCTTGAGAATTACAGTAGAGCAGTTCCGGTGAAGATCAATTGTGGGGATGAATGCCTAGTGTAAGAATGTCACTAGAAGGGGATGAATGATCACCGCCTTCGGAAACGGTCATCTGATCTCAAGAGCACAACAAATGATGGAAATCTGGCTTCTCGGGCATCAAGTGATCTTCATCTCGCATTCTGTGAGATTGTTTTCTAACACTCCTGCTCTGCTCGTATTCTCGACTACCATCGCCTCTCGTTTTCGTCTCGTTCCTCATTTGCTCCTGAGTTTCTCATCCTCTAGTGCAGGATTTGCTTGCGTATGTCAGTGACGTAATTGCCTTGCCATGCCCTTTGGTGAATTCTTCCTCCTGGACGATTGGGGTAACGTGTCAATGTAGATTAGTGATCTTGCCTCATACATTACGAATCCGCTTGGAATTCTCTTTTTGCTCTGATCAGGGTTCCTTGAGAATCAATCCCTAGCTCTGAAAAACATCTGAGTCTCCGCAATTGGAGAATTTGGTCTGCCAGAGGTTGATATCTGCTCTTTCTCCTCCGTCTCTTTGGGAAGCACTCAGAAGTTTTGAGTTCTGTACGATAACTTCGGCACGCTTGACATATTGGTGATTAGTGGTTCTTTGCTTCACGTTTATCAAGCATCGTAGACCCACTTTAGGTTACGCTTGCCTCTAGCAAAATGTAGAAAGGATTAGGGTTCGGGGTTTTATTCAGGTCCAGAGAGTGTTCACCGACATGCTTTTGAGTGCCGAATTAGACATTCTGTAGTAGCTCCCTACCATGGGTGATGGCGCTTTGAATCATTGGTCGCAAACCGTGAAAGACGGACGCCGTGGCTTTGTTCATCTGTTCAATGGCTCAGTCCCTCTTCCTCCATCGATAACATTTACCATCAACAAGTTCCCAACACCCGGAAGTAACAAGGATTGGAGACGTCCACTACTTGCCACAATTCTGCCTCCCTGTGCTGCCTCAGTGTCATTTCTCTGTAGCCTCGCCATAGCTCAAGGAGCTGGAAAACTGTTGAGAGTCTCTTGTGCCACCCCGGTAGTTGCGCCTATCGTAGGTGGATTGGCTGTGGCAGCTGCCTCCGCAACATCAGCTCAAGTGTCCTTCACAGTTCGGAAAATCTGCGAGAATGATGGCAGGTTTGAGAAACTTGAGCTCATTTCACAAGAAAAAGCTCTCTTCTATGCAGTCTTCGGGGTTCTAGCGTACAAAGTCCTCGGTGGCTATGTTAGAAATGTAATGCCTAGCAATGTCATTCGCCCCGGTGCTCATGCACGTTCTTCAATCCCCTCTCGAGGCATCAAGTATGCCAATGACGTAGAATCGGGCTTGATTAAGGATTTGTTCAAGAGCTATGGATGCCATCACTGTGGCAGGCGACAGGGGGCTGCCATTGCAGACCATATGCCTGCCAACATGCTTGCGAAGGAGGCCATGGCTGGGAACTTCTTCACTCGACTAATTGGGAAACAAACTGTGGTTCCACAGCGCTTGTATCCTCAATGTCTTCCATGCTCAAAGCTACAAAGTGCTGCTCTTCGACACGGCAAGCACAAGCTAGTGTTTCATTTCCACCGAGGAGTGCCGCAGCCACCAGCCTGGACAGGCTTTTGCATAGGAGCATTGCAGATTCAGGATGATGATCAACCCCCATATTCTAGTTCTTATTGGCGTTGATTCATCGAGGAGCCTCTTCTATCCACCTGTTCACTTCATGAAGCTTCTGTGATGGTAATATTTTCGTTTTTTGTGAATTTTGTCTGTTGGAAGCCACTCCAGCTCAAGTAGTTATTTTTCAAGTTCCAAGCCTGGATAACTTTCATCAGAGAACTCAAGTTTTAGGTGGCTTTTCTTGCATGCTTTTAAATATGATTAACCCTGTCTTACAATGTACCCAGCTTCGAACATTTCGAAGCACCATTTTTGCATTGGAATAGTTGGGTAACCTTCCTCATATTCTTTCCCTTAATCACTGTCATTGTTTTTCAATTCTATTCAACAAGAAAGAAGAAGCTTGATTATGTGTGTTATATATAGTAAGAACTTGGGTATGCAAGTTTCTGCAATTTCAGTCTTGCATTGCTATTTGGACTTCACCGACATCCAGATTATACTTCGGATTTTAGACTCATCAAACTTAAGGGCAAGGTTAGTTTATAATTGTCCCATTTTTTAATTTTTGCTCAACATGGTAAAAATGCTATGTGTGGGTGATTTGCTATTGTGGAATGTATGTAGGTGAGTTCCCATTTTAATCTAGGAATAATTATGTGGCATTTGATGTAAGATGCAATTTGTTTATGTTGTCAATTGTTGATGGAGTCGTTTCTTATCACTGATGTTTACACTTTATGTCCTAGATGTCATTTGTTTGTTGTTTGTTATTTTATTACATAATATTTTTTATGGTTTAAATCTTATATTATTGAATATTTATGATAGTAAATTAATTTTTCTTGCTTGTACAATAGAAATAGATTAATGACATCAAAATCAGACTGAATAATTGTAATTTTTTTTTTTTGATAATAAAATTTAGTAATATCCACACTGGGATAGTATGTACATGATTCTGCATGATGTTTGTGTTTATAAACTTTGTTTATTGATTTTGTGTTCTAAAATAAAAAAATTGAAGTAAAATTTGAAAAAAAAAAAAAAAAAGAAAAAAAAAAGGTGAAGCTCTTGTAGTCATTGCATTCTTTCGAAGTTGTTCTTCTAATAACAAATTCTTTACTTTTATCAAGCATCAAGAAGTTCTTGTAAATGAAGTTTTTTTGGAAGGAGTTTTTATAATCATGAATATAAATGATTTCACATGTTTTATACTCAAATTGATGGATGCAATCTTGCCTTGTATCTAATCAATTAATTTGAAATTATTTGAATCATAGGTTATTTTCTTTGCATCTTCACCTAACCATTGATACAATTGATTTTCATCTTGTTTATCTCTTTCAATTTGCATAGATTAAATTAATTGCACCTTACAAGTTCAATTAATTTGAATCATTCCTATTTTTTTTTAGTAATTTCATCTACTATATTTAAAAAATCATTTTAATTCCAAGATTGATTCTTGAAATGTTTTTTTATAAGTTCCATGTATTAAAGCAATCTTATATCAATCTTCTAAGTATCTTGATACTATCATCTTTGCCTTTATAATGATTCAAAATAATTCTTTTAGGAACAACTATAAAATATAATTGTTTGGCCCTAAAATGTTTTTGAATTGAATACATCATTCTTCTAAGATGAAAAATAAGTACTTATATCATTTTGCATTAAAGTACTCATTTTCTCTATTTTTTAGGTCTTCAAATCCTAATTCTAAAAATTCCATACTCAAAGAAAATACAATGAGATTTAACAATCTTAAGTATACAAATGACTTTAATGAAACCTAAAATGTTTGTTATATTGTGAGCACTTTTAAACAACCAATTATTTGCAAGAAAGTTTAAGCAATTGCAAATACCACAAAAAGAAGAAACAACTAATGCCTGTTATTCTAACATTTAGATGTTAACTAAAACAATCATAAAATCTCCAACGAAATGTTCCCTTGTGGAACTATATGTGAAGCATTGCATATCAAGTATAACTTTGAATTACATCACTTAATACAAATATCTAAATGTATCTATACAAATAAATTACAAACTACAACATATTTTATTCAAAATTATTTATCAAAATATTATATTTAATTTATGTTTATCCACATTAATATTTAAAGTAAAAAATAATAATCAAAAACAACTTAAAACGGAGTTAATTGATAACAATCGGAATAAATCTAGTGTGCAATATGACCTGGCCCTTTGTTGAACCAGTTTTCCAAATTAAACACTAGATTGGGGAATGTGCGCAGGAATTCATCGGATCGCTCACATGCGTATCATGTTTTGACCTTCAACTCACACTTTTTCAATGTGAAGCCAATCACAAAGTTGCAGGAAAAGATGCAAGCCTTGCATTGATCAGCAGTCAACCATGAACTCTCAGCAACCCCATACAATTCCATGTCTTCTGTAATAATGGACTCAATCAAACAAGAGCGAGTCTACAACATTATGTCACACGATCATGATTGTTGAGTATTGACACCGCCTCTCTCTACCGACTGACTGGCTGTTTGTGTGAGACGCACTTCAGCCCAACTGCTCTATAGAGCACAAAAGTCCCATGGCTTTGGAAGCGAGCAGCATAACTCCCAAACTAGACTTCACATTCCCTTTCTGAGACACAAAAGCAATTCCCTCTGCAGGTGCAAAGATTCCGACCCGAACCAATGCACTGGCTCCCCAACTCCGCATTCCTTGAACCGGCTGCCCAGCATCGATGTGCGTGCTGTAAAACTAACCAGATAACATCAATGAATCTGCTATGAAGACATCGCGCGTCACCTCTGCAGTTTAAAACAGCAGCACCAACGCTACAATCGACGCCCCTCTAAACAGCCACGTTGCCACTGCTGGTTACCAAAGAAAATTATCGCCGTCTTAGAAACAGACAGACACAAAGCATGACTCCAACTCCCTCCGCAAGTCTGAAGGCCAACGAAAATAATACGAGATTGCAAGACAAACAAGCTTTGCCGAGCACCCTCAGCAGGTTTCGTCACTCAAGTCGCAAAACAGATTTCAGCCAGCCCTTGAGAACTAGCATCCCCGTGCGAGACAAAGAGAACAGAAAAGTTAAACCGATGACGACCCAAACAGGAAAATCCTGTCTGTGACAAGCCGTTTATAATACTGCACTTAATATTCTTATGTCTTGATCCTACAGTCATTCCAACTGTTAAGGAGCGCCAAAACCCTCAGCCAAGTTCCGATTCTCAGATGGGATCAAGGAAACATGCAATCAAACGTGGGTATGAGTGACTTATAGAACATAAACTACACGAGATTAAGAGGCAAATAAAATACAGTGCAAAGCCAGAACATGAACCACGGTCATATGCGGAGGCAGATCACTTTATTACCACAAACAAGGCATTGAATTGATGAGGGGATAAAACCCACAATTGTGGTGTTGCACACGCTAGTGTCAAAAATGAATTTCTCCACACACAAAGATGAAACGTTCGCTTTTCTGCTTCAATCCTACAATGTCCCATAACCAGATTGTATTCCTATCCTTATTGAAAAAATAGAACCGTCTATTTCTCTCGTGCAATCTCAGATGCATTGTAATTAGGAGACATAGAACAGTTCATGTTATTCTTTCATCTCTAAATATTGATAGATGCTCAATCAAAAATATTTTTTTCGAAACTTTCGGATGAAATACCGCTACACATTGAAACCCTCTCGCCGCAGGCACTGCTTGTGAGCATCAATCCACTTTCCACACGCGGCCTCCCCATGCTCCACGATGCACTCGTCTCGCAACTTCTTTGTCTCTGGACACGCACAGCATATCTTTTTCTTTGGCGCCTCCGCAGCGACAACTGCTGCTACAGCTTCCGTCGCCGCAGCTACCGGGCTCGACTTCACATCTTGACTTGCAGTATTACCCATCTTAATTCAAAAAATCCTGCAAATAAAACACGATTATGCTTACTCACAACGACCACAACCACTGACTCCTACTAAACACCCCTAGTACAAACATCTTCTGGTTGAGACTGGTTCGGAGATAACTCTCCCAAGCAGCAACAACAGTAACGAAACAGACATAACCACACAGCTTCACAACAATAAACCCAGAACTATTACACGTGCAGTCCAAATTAAGCTCGTGTGGTGCTTCACCACATCACTGAAAAGCTCCTCAACCCTGATTGAATTCACTCCCTAATCCCCTCCCTCGACACCATCAAACAACCGCAGCATCACCAACTGCTGGATTTTAAATGAAATCCAAACAAGTCGAGCACACCTCGAACGAGAGAGAGAAACAAAACGCGCAATGGATCAGTTCCCGATTGTTCTCCTAATCAACAACCAGAGCGGAAGATGCCGAAGACTGCAAACACGAAGCTGCTGAAGCTACAGCGGCGATTCATGAAGAAGAAGAAGAGCGCGATCACGACGAGGAGCAACATTCGTCGCAAGTTGAGCTCCCATGGCTCCTGGAACAGAAGCAAGCAAGCCAGAAACACCTCGTGAAACCCTAAACCCCTTGCTGGCGGTGCCGTTCACACTGCGGCATCTCGATTTTGGGTCTAGGAAAAAGCTGTATACACACAATATTTCCGCTTCGCGCACTCGCTTCCTTTTACTTTCAAAGCTGTCTACTGTTTTATTTTTGGTTGTGAGATTGGGAAATTAAGAAGGTAAATCGAATTAAAAAGTTTAAAGTATGCTCTCGAGGTGGGTTTACATGGTTATAAGTTCTGTATTCTCTGCTGTATTCTTTCAAACGTATGGTGAAATTTAAATAAAGCCAATGCCAGGTAAATAAATATTTTATAACTATTATTTATTAAACAGTTTAGATTTTTGCTCGGGACCAGTTAGGCTGGCATTTAAGATTTATGTCCTATGGAATGGTGAAGTAAATTTAACTGGTTTTTAACCAATTGAGGGCAAAAACTGTGATTCTTTTGAAACAGAATCACAAGTTCGTTTTATAAGAGCACATGAAATTGCCAAATCATAAGTGTTGTAATTTTTTAAAAATAAATTATATTTTTAAAAAATAATATTTTGTAATTTATCACCATATTTTTTATAAGTATCATAGTATTCTGCAGAAGTAGTTTATTGATTTGAAGGCATTTTTTTTATTCTCTCTAAATATTTAGATTATAAATAGTATTATTCTAAAATTGATTGTAAGTTTGGAACTATATTTGTATCAATTGAATTGTTGATAACTTATATCCAATATTGATAATTTGTATTCTATTGGATTTGGTATGTTTTTATTTCATCACTTTTTTGTTCTTGCTCTAATTTCTTTTCCTCATAATACTATTTGAAATTTAAATCAAAATTCTTTCAATTTTAGAAGACTATCCAAGTTGTTTTAGAAAACTTTAAATGCCTTTTTAGGTCTATATGTCACTTGAAATTAAGTGAGATAAGTTTTGTATTTACAATTGTTTACACATAATCATTTTAATGCCTTCTATGATTGTACCATTCCACAAATCATAGAAGGGTCATGCTTCTCTAAATATTTAGGATTCTTAAGGACCATATTATCTTTTGTTGTTACATTCTTTTTTAGTGATTTTTAATCTATTGTTGACATCCTAAACATATATTTTTACAAAGTTCCAAGAATTAAAAATTGAAATATTGAATCTATTATATTTTTTAAAAAAATAATAATAATAAAATCATGCTTATAAATCTACCCTTGAACACAATAAGATATAACCTTATTCCCATTTTGGATGAATACAGGGCCCAAACTATATGCCGTGCAGATTTTGGTGTAACACTTTCTTGCATAAGTTAGGCCCCCTACAAACCGAATGGCAGTGCTACATCAAGGCACAATTGATTACTTAAATGTTAATAATAAGGAAATTAGAGTCTTAGTGCTTCCATGAGCCAAGGAATCATGCAAGCTTCTTTTGTAATTAATGACAATTTGCTTGCCAAGCAAACAAGTTGTAAAAGCCAATCACCAAAAGATCAATGGTCACTTCTTAGTTAGTATAAATTTAATGAGATTGTTTGATATTCAGCCAAGGAAATACTAATGTACTCGTTCAACCTTGGTGGAAGGAAAGGCTTCCTTATGGAGATTGAAATTAAATGTTGTCTCATGAGGAAAATATTGATTCCTATATGATTGTGTTTCCAATATGATGATTCCAAAGTTGGGCACTTTTTATGCTATTAACACTCTCATTCTAACAAGGTGTGTGACTTGAACTCACGATGTTGTCATTGCTGATAAAAGGTTAGCATAGCGTAAGTGAGCTTGTATTGTATAGCACTGTTGGAAGTGTTGCCATGATTGTGGTTGCAACGACGACATCCAGTTTGTGGGAGGCCTTATTGCATTGCTAAATAGTGCCATGCCAAAATCTGTGTGGCACTTGGTTTGGACTCAGATTTACCTAAGATAGAATAAAGGTTACACTTTATCAAGCTTAAGGATAGATTTGCAATTATTACAAAAATGAGGGGTATATTTGTTACTATTAAGAATACGTGGATATTCTTGATATTTTAACGTATTTCAGGGGTATATATATGATATTTTCTCTAAATCATTTCATCTCTATTAAAAACATATAACTTTCTAATTGTATTTTGACAACCCTAGTTGTTAATTTTTTTACTATTTTATACATTATTTTTTCTATGGACAAATCACTTGAACCTTAGTAATTTATTATTCGGTTCTTTGTTTTGTTTTATGCTTTTGCCATCTTAACCAAAATATTCTGGCTGGTGTTTCTTTTAGGTCAACGATGAGAATTAGGGTTTCATGTATTGATGGGTATCGGAGAATCTGTGAATAAGCAATGATTTGTTGCAGGGGGATTCGGTTTTCCGTCTCGTTGGATGGCGCACCGAAGCTGTTAAACTTTGCATTCTGGGTACAATCGGAGCGACCTGAATTGTAAGTATTGGGCTGTCAATTAGGGTTGGCTTTGTAGCAGATATGTTTGTTTGTTTGTTGACTATGGATGCCGGAGCAACGGAGTTCCGTATTCGAAAGGAACCAATCGATGTATGCAACATGGCGAGCTTGCAGATAGGAGGTGGAGGTACACGAGAAGAATCGGTGTGAAAATTGTGGTTAGAACTTGTGGGTGTGCTGTTTCTTGAAGGTAAGGAGCTTGGAACGTGTTGTTGTGGTTGAGGTGAAGATGGATTTCTGCCCCACCTGTGCGAACCTGCTGTTGGTGGAGAATCCCAGCATGGGTCGTCCGCTTCGCTACTTCTGCCCAACTTGTCCATACGTTTACGTCGTCGACCGCAAGGTAACTACACGACTGTCAATTCATCTGATCCGAACTTGCTTCTGCCTCCATTGACTCCAAAACCTGCTCGTGTACGAGACATTTCTTTCCAAAGCTCTGTCGGTATAAGCTCTTCGGCTTACGGGCGTTGTCTCTCTGTGAATTTCTTGTTGTAGTGGTCTGCTCTTCGTTGCCATTCTAGGCCGGCGAACTTGATGGACTGCCTCATCTAATCCGGCATTGATTCCAAATAGCTTCAATACTTTGCTTGGAATCTGAACTGAAGCCTTCCTCCCTCTTGCGTGCAGCTTTGATAATTGATGAAGATGCCTGGCATAATATTATTGTATGAGTAATACTTTTGGTTGCAATGTGCACTGTTCTGCGAACTTCGTTTCCAACATTTGCAAAGTTTTGCTCATTGATATGAGGACTTTAGTACATGATCAGTAAGCGAGACAAAGACAGGTGCTGAACTATTGGACCTGACTACACAGTTGCTCCTTGCTCCATCATTCTGAAGCCAGCTGAATCTGCTGTGTTTCACAATAATGCACTTGCGGTTCTTGTACAACGTATTAAAAGCGTTACGAAAATGAGATTCGTCGGATGATTCTGATGATTCAAGATTATGGAATTTGCAGATTAGCAAGAAGTTGAAATTGAAGAAGAAAGAGGTTGATGATGTCCTCGGTGGAGAGGATGCCTGGAAAAACGTTGACCGCACCACAGGTGAGTTTGAGGTCTTACCTTTGTGGTACAAATATATTTTTTGCCGCAATGAGCATTACCTTTAAATGAGGATCACCTGAGTATCCCGAACCCCTTAAGCTGTAAAGTACTTGTAAACTAGAATCTTCAAACGAGCAAATGCAAGTCGCCTGAGACTTTTAAGTAACTTACGAATGTTTGCTACAATTGGGTTGATGCAGTTACATGCCCAAATTGCAGCTATGGGCAGGCCTACTTCATGCAGATTCAAATCAGGTCTGCGGATGAGCCTATGACAACTTTCTACAAATGCTGCAACATTGATTGTAATCACCGATGGAAGGAGAATTGATCTTTATATGTGAATATCACGTCCTGCGACATTCATTTAGGCTGGAGGAATGTTTTATGCGCAGTGTCCGGGAGAATTTTGTGAAATACCGGTTGAGAGACTTTTTCATGTTGTGTTATGTTATTTTATCTTATTAAATAGTAGCCCACCTGCTCCATCTCCTTTGTTGTCTGGGATATTGGTTAGGATAAGGTTTTATTTTTTAAATTTTTAAGGGGAATTAATCCAGCTCTTTCCTATAATTGGCAAATTTGGCATTGTACTAGGGGTTGGTGCTCTCTGGACATTGTTTTTGTGCATACACAACGTAAGATACATTAATAGATTCTAGAGCAAGATCAATGTATTGTAAAATTTTCATTTCTTCTTAACACCAACTTCTTCTGAAAATATTTGCATACATTTTTTACTTCATGTCCCTACATGTCATTTCGGTGGCATTGAAGCAACTATGGTTTTTCCCTTGGCAAATCCTCACCATCGAGTTTAGCAACTTAATAAAGGTGTAAAATGGCGAAGCTGAACGAGTTAATGTACGATTTGTGCTGTAGCACGATTGATACTGTGTGGTTGAATATGAAGGGCCTCATTACACAGGGAGCCAACAATTGTGAACAACTTATACATCCTTGAGAGTGAAAGCAGACTTGGGTGACGCTTCGGTCACATTATTTTTTTACAATTATCGCTAACCTTATAAACAAAACAAAGGGAGCCAATCTCGTGATTTTGGAACGATGGAGGAGTTGTATTCTGCCTTTTGAATGGTCTCAAGAGTCATAAATCTGTGGAAAACCTCACTCATTATTGGTTTCGATATATTCAAGGTTCCAGAGACCTAATTATTCTATCTTGATTGTTGTCCTTGGTGTACATACAGTATCTAATGTAAAACTTGGTTATCCTTTTGATGCTAATCGTCAGAATCGATACTGCAAGATGCTGCATTGCACAGAGGGTGGTGAAGTCCTTGCGACTTGTTCCGCGCTAAAAATGATCCAAGGACTTTGAATACGAATAGCCAGAGGCTCCTATATTCGTGGACGAGAGAGTTTGACATTGTTTAAATCCTTCACCTTGTCTTACCAATCCCAACATTAACATATTAAAATCGAATTTTAAAATATCCGACTTATCCTCAATATTAAATTTCTCAAAATTCATCCTGGTCTTGGGCTCTATCAAGATAGCATCCCGGCGGTTTCAATTCGAGCAAACATTGGAGCAAACACGATCAACCGAAAACATTGAAGATATTCTCTTCGGTCAAAACAACTTCAAACGTGGACACAGTAACCCCCCCCCCCCCCCCCCCTCTACCACCAAGATTCGAAACGTTCGTAGAAACCCACTTCCGAACAATACATGCTGAAAAATGACGAGGAGACGGGGGGTGGGGGGGGGGGTTCGGAAGCAGCGCTCCACCGCCACCACCACCGCAGCACAGCGAGATTTCGAAACCTACAAAGTTCTCCCAAATACCTTTCCAATGACTTTTCGGTTGTTGTATCCATCCCCACTGCGGCCACTGTCCGCAATGGAAGTGCAACCCCCTCGGCAGACTCTCACCAGCCAACCCCTGCAATCCAGTTGGTTGCATTCGAAGCTTCGAATGAGACAAAACGAAGGAAGCGAGGAGGAGCTCAACAGCGGCAGCCGAGGACGATGCCTTCGAAACATCATCCATCCCACAGCTCCTCATTCACCAAATATCATTGAATGACATTCATTTGTGGGTGGATGACATGGCACTCTTCCTTGTGTTTGATATTTCTTCGGCAGAGGTGCTTCCATTATTGACGAGGGAAGTGTCGCAGAGTCAAAATCCCCCACCCCACTTGGCCTCTTCTTCATCCCTTTTATGAATCTGTACCGCATTCATCTGCTTTTCATCCTCACGGCTTTGGGCTTCGCTCCTCGGTCTAGGGGGCTTGTTTGTCGAACACTGTTTGGGGATCTTTAACCGTTTCTTTGCACCATGATTTATTTATTTATTTTTCCTTCTTCTTTTAATTTATTTTTCTGTAGGTTGTCTTGTTAATATTAACAATTTTCTTCCTCTTCTTCCATTTTTAAATATTTATATTTCTTAGATGATGATACTAATAATGACGTGTCAAGTTTGGAGATGGTGATATCTTGTTTAATAGTGGATAATAATTAGAGCAACAATCTCAACATCAATTTTAAAGTATTTTCAAGATGTGTACAGATGTGAGTTTTTCCAATCATGAGATTGCAATATTGTCTCAAGAAAAAACATTCTAGAGTATGCACAAATGCATGTGCTTTCTAACCATATCACATGCTACTTGAGTTTTGTCAACCATGCCAAGCCCTTCTTCAACATGAGAGGAATGTGAAACTGATCACACACAATATTTAAAGAAGTAAAAAGACGTATGAGAATAATAACCTGATGAATATACATGTTATGTTTGGTTGGTCGATACCCATATCAGTTGCTCATTTGCATACACCAAAATAGGCCAATTTTTGGGGAAAAAACAAAAAAAAACAAATATGGTGTTTTTTGACTTCCAAACATTATTCATACATTTGGCCATACTTTCTCAAAACCTTGGATCTAGTAGTCAATTCTCACATGGGTTCCTATGCTATTATTACTATTACACTCACTCACATTATGTATAATAATTAATTAAAAGCATCTTGTGTTTAAACATTTTCTCCTTGAATAAGAGTAGGAATTTAAATTTCATACATACATGTGCAATTGAAAGAATGCTAGTGTAGAGCTCCAAAGTGTTTTGGATCTAATGAATGTATGTATATATATATATATATATATATATTTAACAACAAGTAATTGTTTACTTGCATTGTTTGTGTGTTTGCTCTGCAGTGGGCCAATATGATTAGGAATCGAGACCCAAGAATAGAAAACATGGAGACCATGATTTCTACCACCAGCATGCAGAATTAGGGCACAGGTGGCACAAGCCCACACTCACTTCTTTCTTAAACCATAAACACTTAATGTGTACCAAGGCCACCAAAATCTTCTCCTATCTCTACTACTTTCTTCTTCATCATCTTGATTGTTTAAGGCTTTTTCAAAGAATATGAATACATGGTCATGTTGGGACTATGAAGTGTGATTGGTATTCGAGTTTTTAATATATATATATATATATATATATATGGTTTTTGTTTAAAAAAAAAGAATGATGAGTTGTAAGATATTTAGCAATATCAACATCTTTTTTTCAGAATGAAATTAATACTGTTATTTTTTTATTTATTACATCCTTATCTTATCTTCCTTGCACTTTTAGTGCTTCACTTGAATTGTGAGATAGAACATGTTTTACAAGAATTTAATTTTTTGGAAGAAAGATATTTCACAAGAGTATCAGAATGTCCTTATTATTACTATATGTTTATCTTTATTACGTTTCATTACTAAATATTATATTAAAAAAACAATAAAAAAGCATCCAAATGTCCATTCCAATTAAAAATATATTAACTCCAGCTATGCATGAAAAGCTTGTTCTGAACATAACTAAACCATTGAATGTACGGCAGACCTTAAGATTGAATTTAAACGAGATAATGGTTTATTTATTTAATAAATAAGCCATCAATGATTATGAATTTGGAACATTTTAGCTGCTTTTTGTTACTTGTTTTCTTTGCCAATGCTTGCTTGTAAAATTGTTATGCATGATCTTTTTAGCTTCAAGTAAATTTAATTGAACTAACTACAGAGATGAAAAATTAGAGTAGGTTCACTGGTGGTATCCTTAAATACCATATATTTAAATTAAAAAACATAATATAATATAAATAATGATTGACCTTCAAATTGTAGATGTATGCTGATAAAAAGTCTTCATCATTAATTGTTTTGAAGTATTTTTGTTTCCCATTACATGAAATTTTAAAAATTATCTCATAAAATTAAAAAAAATAGCAAGCATACTTTTTAAACACATTTAATGATGGATCCAAATTAAGATTTTAAACACTTTGAGAAACAGAGGTTATGATAAACTTTAATAAACATATATAATTTTTCAAATGTTTAGCACACACCATATACTCATTAAAAAGTTCTTAAAATTGTTGAAGAATATTAATACTTAAAGCTCTATGAATACTTATCAAGTACTGTACGGGATTTTCCATTTAGTAAACAAATACAAAATAACTATGAGACTGTAAGGTACAGGGAGGGATGTCAATTATATGGAATGTTAGAAACCTTCAAAATAGGATAATAATTTTTGAGGTATTTATCCCATTGTCTAATAAAATTTATGGTTAGAATTAGTTTTCTTAAAATAATAAATTTAGGCATGATTTCACATCGTTATATCATACTCAAGTATCCTTAATCATGGAAGTTGCCGTGTTTATTTATCACTCTTTTATGTTTCTATGAAAACTTTTGCAATGCATTAAATTTGTATGGTACATGTGCAAATGTAACCAGTTCTAAAAACACATTCAAGTTCATTTTTGTATATTCTTTCAAAACTTTTATGTTAGAAAGCAAGGTTTTGTATTTTTATAACATGGCCGTATTGCACACTTTAATAAAATGCAAGCACCAGATTCTTACAAAATCAAGATTCTATATTATTCTGATGTACAGTGTCTGTAAAGGACAGCTAGTTGTAATACTGACTTTGAATTATATCGAAACACTAAACTTATTATACAATAACTTAAAAATAATAATTAAGTGCATTAAACAATTTTTTTTGACATTTACAGCATTATGAAAAACCAATACCAAGGGTTGTTAATTTTAAAAATAATTAGAATAAAATTGAAGTACATTTATCTAGAGTATTTTTCAAATATAACTTTTAAAAATTAATTATTTTAATAAATATTTGCTCGTTTGTTTTGTTTTGTATGTACACACATTCTCATATTTAGATACTGAATCAATAGTGAACTATAGATTTATGAATAATGGACTGTAAAATATTTAATCATATCTTGTATTTAAATTGTTTCATTTGAAAATTCTTCTCTTATTTCTTTAATTTGAAATTTTGTATGATTAATTTTGTGTAATAAAAAATTTAATGGGTTTGTAATTTCATCCAATTCTGCAAGATCTCAACCCGCCCATTGCAATTCCAGAATATTAGTAAAAAAATATAATCATATCAAAAGTTTGAAAGTAAATATAAGATCTGGTGAATAGGGTGTAGAATTTAATTATGTGAATTAAGTTTTCACATGATAAAATGTACAAAATGAAAGAAAGTTCAATGTGTTGCAGAAACACCAACTACTGCACATAACGTCTGTCAATGAAATTATCAAATTTATCAAACATTGCTTATTTGTTAGCATTCAACCACGTTATTAATACGACATTCTAACAATTTAAAGTGACATTGTAGAAGCTATTTTTATTATTAATTATACTAAACAATAGCAAACCAAATCTTATTTAGATATAGATGGTAATTCGTCTGAAGACATAAACACCAAAAATAAGCTGATTAAAATATTAGGCAAAATAGAACATGAGTAATATATATATATCCATGGTTATAATTTTGTTGGTTATTTTTTGAAAACTTATAAATACTATATGTACATATATACATACATATACACACATACAAACAAACAAACAAGGAATTTGAGTCTATTGAAACTTGGCACATAAATCATAATTCCATTGATGTAAGCTCAAATCTAGATACATCTGAGAGTATAATGGTAATTCCAAGAACGAAATAGATGTATATTAATATATTGGGCAGATTATTATGTTCCTCGATATAAATAATAAAAGTGTGTTAATAAAAAATGATATAAAATACAACATCACCACAGAAATGGTCCTTGTCCACTCGAAGACCCTATCAAAGTCAACGAACCCCAGGAGTAAAGTGATGGGAAGGGAGGGAGTTAGGGAGGGCGAAGAGGAAAACGGCAGCAAAGAGAAAAAGCCAAGGCCGAGGCAGACACTCTCACAAGCCCAACAAACACAAACACACTAACTCATACACACACATTCATACACACTCACTCATACACACTCACTCATACACACACACTCACTCATACACACACACCCACAGAGAGCGAGACCCTCGTTTCTGGGCTCCCTTTACAATGAATGAATAACCCCAAAATGACTTTGTCGTACATACAACTCTATCGGAGACACGAATACCAACCCCGTAGGAATACCAACTTGGATACGGAGTAGAACAGCAGTACATAAATACAGGAGAGAGGAGGAGGACGAGGGGAAATCAGAGACAGACAGACGGACAGACAGAATGCTAGTAGATGTGACTCCAATGCAACCTTCCTTCCTTCCTTCGTTGTTGCCTTTTTCTCCCCCATCGCCAGCAGCTCCTCCTCTGCTGCTACTCTGCTGCTGCTGCTGCTGCCTGGTGCCTGCCTGCTTGCCCTGCTTTGCCTGTTGCTCGTCCTCGTCCTGCTCCTTCTCCTCTACTCTCTCTCTCCTCTTCTCTTCCCCTGCCCTTTTCCTTTCCTTCTTCCCCTTTCCGTCCTTCTCTTCCCCTGTTGCTGCAGCCTCGCTCATCACTGCGTGCGTCGCTTCCTCCGACACTTGAGCAGTCCGCCGTCGCCACTTACCCGATCCTTACTTACCACCGCAAAGCTCTACCGCCGCTCTCTCCTCCTCTGCGTGCTTGCCTCCCTCCCTTAGTCACCCCTCCCCGTGCCCTCTCCTAGCCATCTCTTATCTTCTTAAACGGTGCGTATCTGCGTTTGCTAGCAGAGCTTGAATGTCGAGGACATAGTTTGGCTCTCGTTTTAGTAGCTTCTTTCTTTCCCGGTGGCTGGATTGGCGACGTGGCGGTGGCTCTTGGAGGTTCGATGCATGTGAAGTGCGGGAGATCAGGGAAGGAGTCGGGGAGATTTCTAGTTTCGAGATAGGCGTGCAATTAGCTTGCAGGGCAGCGAGGTGGACGCTTTGTTGGTGTTCTGGATGGTTGAGTTTCCTGTGGAGGTAAATGCCTTGACTCTCTAGAGCGGTGGAGGTTGTTTGTCGTGCAGTGAATTGTGTAAGAAATTGTAGGCGGGAGCTGAGGTTGACATGTGCTGGCTGATTGCCGATGAATGATCCGTGCGAGGGATTAGGATGTGGCAGTTAGTTGTAGGTGCTAAATTGGGTGTCGGTTTGAACTAGCTAGATTGTGCTGCAGTTGATTTAGTTTCCCGAAATGCATGAATTGTGCTTTCCTCTAGCACCGCCATTGGTTAGGTTGGGAGATTGGGCCTCGGATTGGAGCGAATCCTTGAGATAGTTATTTTATTTTATTTTATTTTGCTTCTAAGAGCAGAATCTATATTTGGCCGCATCTTTTAGGGGAGCTTAGACGGTGTTTGGAAAATTGTCGGGTGGATTATTAAGGTGCTTTGTGATGTGTCACGGGTGGTTGATTTAAGCTGCTCATTCGCGGCGCACAATTCGATTGACATGCCGCAGTCTGTGTAGGACTCGGGGGTTTGAATCTTTATTCTGCCTGGAAGGAGAATTTGGGCAATTGTTACAATTGTCGCACGGAGCTTTGTGCAAAGCCTTTTTAATTTTTTTAATTTTAATTTTTATTTTTAGTTTTTTAGTTTTTGGAGCAAGATAGAAGTTTATAATGTGTTGTTCTTCTGTTGGCTTACCATGTTTTGATCTAATACTGATCCTATAGTAACCTTTATATTGAAATTCAAGCTCAATCAGTTCTGATCGGAGATGCTAGGTTTAAAGTTGCCTTGACCTACGAGATTATTGTAGCATTCTGATTTTCCTCATGCCTCTGTCCAGTTTTCTAATGCACTAGTGAAATTCAATTTCGGTATCATGCCTACTTGGTTATATTAGAGCCAAAGTTTAAGAGATCTTTCGCTCTTTGTTAATCGTTGGATGCACGATTAAGTGATTAGTGGGCTGCCGTTGTCTGGATTTCTGAGGTTTCCCTGTCTTGAAACTGTCAGATTTAGCCTTGCTTTCAAACTCTTTTGGTGACCTCAAAGATTTGCTTATTTTGTTTATTTCTATTTATTTTTATATCTTTTCTTATCCCTCTTAAAAGTGGTATTGATAATTTACTCCGCTGAGAGTTCATTGAGCGTAGTTGTCTGTTTCAATACAGCTTAGGCTTTCAATATAGATTTAGGATTTGTAATCGGTGTGGTAATTTCTCTGCTATATGATGAGATCCTAAAGTTGTTCTAAGAGATTATCTGGTAATATTTGTCTTCTGATCGTTGGTAATGATTTCTTTGGGGGCTTAAGCAGAGTATATTGCCGTCGTATTTTTGGCCAAGGTCTCGCTGGAGGCAGCGTTTTGCTGAGGGAGGTGGCTCAAGTATGCCAATAAAGTAGGCGGTATTTCATTACCTCATGCTATTTTGAAATCACAACAGGCAACACCTAAATTGATTTTCTCTCCACATTCGGATGGGGTTTACCAACGTCCACTCGTATCCATCAGAACTGTCTACGGATATGGAAACAGAAGTCTTCTTAATGGAAAGTTCAATTGATCCGCAACGAAAGAATGAACAGATGCATGTTTATAACAAGTGGCTTCCTCAGTCGATGGTAGAGGAAGTCAAGGAAGAGCCACAGAGGTTTCACAAATTGGTGGTTATTATGGAGGAAGAAATGTCGTGTCTGGACACTCCAGCTGCTCGCCTTGCCACCACAAAGTGGATACCTGTTATAAACACGTATGTTCTTCTTTTTCTTTCCTTGTCTTATTCAGTGATATTGTTGCTGTGAGTATCCACTTCTTTGGATGTGTCTGTTCGCCAAGTATTCGGGACGAACACTTCAGTCACAAGTCTTTGATGAAGAAAGAGAAAAATGTCAACTTGTTAGTCTGCAACAAGCTTTGAACGAAGTTAACGAAAAATGCATTGATGAAAGGATCTGGAAAGTGCTAAGATTTGAGTGCATTCTCATAACTGAGATGGAATGCAAATGGAATGCGTAGCGAAGTACCAAATGACTTTGGAATGGCCAGCTTATTTGACAGCTATAAGCTTGTTCGTTTACATTGATTACCCGGCTCTCACTTTGTGCGCTACGTATATGTTTTAATGGTATGTAGAAATCAGTTGTGCGGGGTCAGACCATGGAAAAGTGTAGAGAGTAGAGCCCTTAATTGTACAGCCTTAGCCGAGAGACATCAGGCGCTCACTACACATGCGTGAAAGACATTGTGGTCTTTTGAAGACACTCTTTGAGATTTGATCGTTTCAGGAGTATGAGAACCTCCTTTGTGTGATCTTTCTGGGTGCTGTCTGCCTCCTCTCGTGCCTTATATTCACGGAATAACCGGATCAGCTGTGCTTGGGTCTTAGAATTAAGTAGACGACTTGACACACACGCACATTCGTTGTGCTGATCGGTCCATGAATGTTTAAGTAGTCCAATTTTTATAATAGAAGTAGGATTTATTTCGTCTTTATGATACCAATAATCCTTTATAATTTCTAAACTCTTACATTTGTTGAAATATTTGCTGCAGATTTGTGAAAGCGAAGACCGCATTGGACAACAAAGATTTGGAGTCTGTGATTAATCTTGGTCTTAAATTGTTACTAGATACAACAGATAATCTTTTTATTCAGGTCAGTGAAAGACCATGCACATAGTTTTTAGAGGACTGAAAAAGTCATAAGTAATGCATATGGCTAACGGTTTTCGTATTTTTCTTTCTTGTTATTACTCCTCATAGGAGGCATTAAATTTTAGAATATTTGATAGTTTACGCATTTGGTGTTGTGGTTTTGTCCTCAGATTCCTATTTAGACGTTTCTTATGCTACAGACAGGAGTTTGCGACATGAATCCATTGGTCTTCTTCTTGTGCTAATATATTTTACAGTGGCCTTCAGCTGATCTAGTGGATATCTGTCGGTAGCTTTGCACCGTTAGTCCAGAGAAGTTGGCTGACGTAGATCCTTTAGATATCTATATTTTGAAAAGTTGAGTGGATGCAAGTATGATATTTCAATCGCAGTATATCTTGCTGATACCAACTCCCTGATTTTGGAACAGGACCGATGGGCTGGCTGTATTAGTCGTATATTACAAAAACATCGAAAGCTTGATTTGGAGATTAAGTGGTTTCCTTTCTATTCGTTGCTGTTGGCGGTCCACTTTAAGAGGTTCTCTCTTATGGCAGAATTCTTTGTCATTGTTTACATTGCAAGTACAGAGTAGGCTTAAATCTGATCAAACTATATGCTATCTCTAAGAAATCGTTGCTTGAGGAAATATTCATTTCATACTCGAATATCTTCTGGTCTAAATTTTAATGCATTATTTGTTTTTGTAATCGGTTACGATCGTCGTCAAATTTTGTTTCTTCGTCCGTGAAAGATAGTTTGGTTATTAATGCCTGGATGCAATTTACCAGGAGGTATTCCTATGAAGGACTTGGGATTAAGATGCATCATTTGGACTCTATTACCAATCTTGTTCGTTGCTGTCGCCGGTACTTTCCATCCAAATCAGCTAGTGAAATTTGGCTCGAGTTTCGGTACGCGTTCATTGTTCCTGAATTCCTCTTTTACTTTTTTGTACTTTGCTAGGCTTAGCATAACTTCTAGCGAACAGTCAGTTTACGAATGAATTTTCTTGCACAGATCATGTATGTGTTTCGCATTCTAGTGTTGCATCTGATTATATCTTTTATTTTTATTTATTTTTATTTATTTTATTTTTATCTTTTCAAAATATCGAAATAACATTAAGGAGAGTGGTTATTGTCGTCCAGACCCGCACTTAACGACCTTGCGCACAATTCATCCATGGAAGCAATGGGTTTCATCACACTCTTTATGCCTTCAACAATAATGGAGGAAGTAGAAAAGTATCTTGATAAATCGCCAAGGTGGGTGACAATCATGTATCCATCTTTTAGTAAATTGGATAAATTTGATAAATCAAGCACTGCACGGTGGAGAAAGTGATGAAGTAAGCCAAAGATATGCTTACGATATGCACGGAGCAAGTTGAAAGAATTAGTGTGCAGTTGTTGACTGATATACAATTCGCTTTCATTCTTGGGGCCCAAAATTGTACTGTATGTGTCAAGAATGAATAAGTTTTGTGATTTGCTGAATTTGACATTTGTTTGTGTGGGTGTGTTTCTTGCAGTGATTGGATTAACGAGTGCCTAGGTCTTTGGGCAGATTTGCCGAATTGCCGGTATTGGAACCTGCAATGGGCTTCTCTCATTGCACGCTGTATCAAACATTCTAGAGGGAGCTCTTTTGATTGGAAGCCTTTCCTGCAACCTTTGTTTTCAAACTTTGTGCGCTCCTTTGAGGTAGGTAGTAGCTAAAATGGTCGAGTTATACACGGTTGCTTTCTGATCTTGAGTGTCAATATTTGTGAGGCTATGATTTCATCTCAGCGTGTATGATAGATTTCTTTCAGTTCAACTTTTAGGCCACAGAACGTTATGAGGCAGCTTAATGCACTGTAGTGGCGTACGTCAATTTTTCTGTATCATAGGTGATCTCACTATCACAGTAAAATACGTATTTCTTACTGAAATCATATACATTGACCGAGAAAGATATGATCTTTGTTCCTAGGAGTAGTGGAAAGGGTCTATTGGTTTAAATTGCGACCTCGGTATCAGAGGTACAACGCGGAGAATGTAAACTTCATGCTTGATGGTGTTCTGATACTACGTGAGTACTAGGCATGGAGTTCATGTTGACGTATTCTTGTTTCATATTCAATTTCAATCAATGTACGCATTTTTTGAAAATCAAGTGTGATTTAGTGATTATATTCAATTTATGCTGATCTTAGAATCCAACACGTTCTGTGGGTTAATCAGCTGTGCATGTGTCTTGTGTGTAGGTTCCAGTGGGGAAAGCAGGCGCATGGTGTCCAGTTAATAGGCAAGAGTCGCGGGAGTGTTCACTCGCCTTTTACAGTCGCTGGTCATCATCACCCTCCAAGGAAATGGCGAAATCCATTGTAAGGCTGACCTGTTTATCTCACATTAATACCATTAAGATCAGTTGTTTGCTAAGCCGTGTGAAATAGTGGACAGCTTTGTAGGTACTGTATGTCCTGTTCTGTGATACGTGGTCACCTGTGCTTTCAATCCAAGTGGTAACCAGTTTGAGCTGTGAGGATGAATACACGTTTGTTGGAGCTCACTTGGCTTTCAATCGGGCCAATACTTTCTTTTTTTTTCATTTTGAAGAAGTGGATGTTTTGCACTTCAATACCTCTTTTTTTTGTTTTGTTTTGTTATTTATTTATTTTTTGCAAGATTGATGCATGGTTCTAAAATGCATCAATCAACACTGAGATTGTCCGTATGCTATGTATGTTTGCCTGGAAATTATTTGATCATTGAGCTGGTATAAATTGGACATGTAGTAAGACATGAGTGGTGGGTCTGATGGGCAGGTATATTTGATTAAAAATGGAAGCGCAACACAAGGATACCTCGAAACCCTTATTGACCTTCTGGAGCAGTAAGCGTTTTTGAATGTGGCAATTTGTGATGCTTTTATGCTTAACTGGGGGAAAAAATTGTCTATCCCTGAAAGTGACCATGATATGCCTCACAATACGTAATTGCAGGTTAAGTTGCTTCTTTAGTTTCCAATATGCTTTCCGCGTCAGAACCGTTTGTTGTTATGATGTCTAATAGTATTCGATAGTTTATTGCAGACCAACTTAGATTTTAATTGGTGAAATACGCTCAATGGAATTTCAGGTTTTATCATCCTTCCAATGGGGGATCATGGACAGGATCGTTGGAGCGTCTTTTACGTTATTTGTTTGCTTACTTTCTCGATCGTCTGGCCAAAGAGCAGCGGTACGATCTTTGTCAGTGACCTGCCAATATACATTACTTCAAAATTGAAGTCACAGTAAAACGTTTTTTCTAATCAATTCAATTAGAATGTCTATTCTTCAGAAGATCTCCTGCGGAGGGTTGTTTTTCCTCTTTGTGTAGGTTCTCAACATACACTACCTGAAGTATGGAAATTTCTGGTCGTGTAGGTAGATGTTTCAAACTTCCAAGGATCCCACCGACTTTGTGTATCTTTCTCATGTGAATGTCGCTATTCTTTTTTAGTTGGCAGTATGACAGTGCTCATTCATTGCCAGAAGCTTGAACGCACGTGTACATTGTATCCAAGTATGTGAGGGTTGTGAGCGGTCATTTAATCGAATTAAGTCTTTTGAGTTGCAGAAGTTCGGAGAAGGCCCATGTCGCCCTAGGACCTGCGGAAAGAGCCGCTTTTGTGCGAACATTGATGCGGCTGATTGAGCGCGGACAGTACAGCAAGAACAGTAGCTTGGCTAGTACTGTTGGCAGCTCTGCATGCTTACTTGCATTTGTAGAACCGACGTTGATGTTGCCTTACATTGTTTCCACATTTGATACTGCGTTGGATTCTGTAAGTTTGTTCAGGATCTCCTGTCATCCCCCTTTTCAGATGTCTTAAATTTATGTTTTTGTCTTGAATTTAGATGCCATCGCCTTGTTGTTATCATGGAAGCATGTTTTCATACGCTTATGAAAGCAAAGCAGACACGGAGTATGTGGTTTGGTAATCGAATTTATTCCCTGGCTAGCTGAGGTGATTTACACTCAAATTCAAGTGTTTAGAGTATTCATGTTCTGCCATTTTCCAGCGTGGGGTTAGATGTTGGAATGATGCAAGTTTTAGTTGGTAGATCCTCATATTGGTCATTTAAGAATTCACAAGATGTTACATTAAATTTTTAACATAGCAGCCTGTTTTTGTGAAATCTTCGGTTTTGTTGTGTGCTTAGTCGAAATCATGTTTAGATTCTGACTCTTTGCTGTAAGACACTATCGGAGTAGTATACGCTTACTGAGCTGTCGAAAAATGAAGTGTGTCTCCTTGACAAGCCTTCGCGGCCAGCTGGAACATAACTAACTGCGGTGATGATAAATGTACAAATTGTTGACTGTTAACCTTATCACTTGGAAGTCGATCGCGTCAGCTTAAGTCATACTGACCTTAGTTTTTTGATTCATAGCTTGTAGCAGTCTAGTTTTTAACTCACATATGTTGGTTTTTCTCATGATTGAAGTAACATTTCTTAAATTGTTTCAGATAACAGCTACACATCAGCTGGAGACTGCCCTTGGAACCCTAGCACTTGCTGCCCGTCCTATTCTTCTTGCATCAACCAGGCATAGTCAAAATGCAGACATGAGTTCTGAAACACGGGAGTCTCTGTTAAAGTGCAAAAAGACAATAGTTGATGCTTTGTTCAGTACGCTACTTGGCTTGGATGCAAACGATCCTCCAAAAACGCTGGCCACTTTGCAGCTGTATTGCTCTGTACTTTCCAGCGTAAGTTGTTGAGATGCTGTTTGCTGAGATGAACCTGATTGCAGAGATAAAGATTAACTGGTCTTTTCTGAAAATTAGTTGGAAGATAAAAACCCACAAGACTTGCTCCTTCCGAAATTTCACTCTTCTTTCTCGCAATATGTTGGTTTCTGCCAATTGCTTTAGGCGGTTCAACAGCTGAAAGTTAAAGTTGCAATGGTGTTACAATATATCGGGACTGCTATTTTCTATTTTGAGCATCCTAATTGAACAAAGAGGATTGGTGTACTCGTGCAGTGCATATGCAGTTGTTCTACTCAATGTAACGAGGACAATTATAGTACATATATTTTCGTTTTGTTCTAGTAATTTCTTCATGCAAGTTTAGATGTAGTGAGGAAATAGTTCCGCCCCAATTAGCTTTGGTTGTAGTTCATGTTACGGAGACTGATTACTGCTTGTAAAGTGGTAATCAAAATTAACACAAATTAATGCAACGCAGGTTGGTGTAATAGGAGCTAAAGAGGATGGAGGCAGTGGAGCATTACCTATTGATTGGTCTAAGTGGTTAGATGACTTTTTATCTCGTCTCTTTGTCCTTCTCGTCAACTTAGAGCCTTCAACCACCACGTAAGTTTGCAATTTCTTAATCTCTCATATAGTTGCCCTAAAAAAGTAGTATGTGAGGGTCAATTTTTCCACCTCGTGTGGCCTACTTCATGGGTCTTTGCAATAGTATTTACTTTTCACGTACGGCAGTGAATCTCATTGAATAATACATGTACTACAATTATGCCCATTTTGACGTTGCTGGAACGGAATAATTTTGGTGTGTGACTCATCTATGTTTGTCAAGTTGTAATTGAGATAACAGTTGACAGATTTATTGATTTTTATTACCTTGGTTGTTGGGGGTGCATGTGTGGTCCGCAGAGGCGATACGGAGGCGGACGATGCATTTTTGAATGATTGTGGATCACAATACAATTCTCTCGTTGGAATAATCTTTTGTAGAACAACACTTCCTCTTTTCAATCAGGTACTACATCGCTGCGGTTCTAAAGAACAGCGATGAGAGTTAGCACATGTAGTGATTTGTTTTTAACATTCGGGAGTAGGTTAGAAAACAGATGAAAGAAACGTTTTTGATGAATTTTACAAGTAAAGCTTATCTTATACTTGTGTTGGTCGCATCATTTATTTGATTCTTTGCAGTATTTGCAAATTCCATTCACATGTAATTTTTTTTCTTTCAGGCTTTGAAGATGGTGGTGAAATTTGTGCATAGTACTGTATTGCCTGGCGCAGCAGATGAGATAGGATCTCTTTGTGGAGCTGCTGTCTATGCGAATCCTAGAATAAGTGTTGAAGTTCTTCTTGTTCCCATAATGCGCTCCATCGTGTCTTCCCTTGCCGAGTCTCCTTCCACTGGATTTAGCGGTGATGGTGTGCGGACCGAGGGTGCTGACTTTAAGGTGTGGGCGTTTTTAATTTTCGTGAACAGAAATGTTGTGATTTCGCAAATCTTTTGTGCTTTCTTAGGCCAAAGTACTTATCTCTACATCTTTGCATTTATTACCAAGTCTGTTTCTCACATTCATGTGATCCTTGTTTACTTCTAGGTGGGGTTGTCCCAAGCTTTGGAGAGCACGGTGGTTTACCAGCTTAAGGCGGTAGCTGATGGAATCGGCTGGGGCGGTGCTGCTCTTCTTCCTCACGCAGATCTCATCAAGAAAGTTATCACAGCCGCCTTTAATGCTCCTAGTCAGAAGGTTGGTTTAATCACTTGTCTAAACCAACTTGGCTAGTAATTCTCTTCGTGGATCTGAGTAGAGCTCTGCTCTTCGTGTCATTCTCCTGCTTTGCATCTGCAATTAAAACGAAATATTAATGTTCGAGGCTGTGATTTGGAATTAGACCTGCAGATAGTACATGAGGAATACCTGTTTAGGTATGGATTTTTCACTGTTTGCTTATTTTCGCGGGATTTCTTTTCAAGAGTTTATTTTGAACGGTGTATCCTGTTAACTCTGCAGGTCAATACAGCTGGCAGCTCAGTCCTCACTTGTTTATTGGGAAGCTTGGTTTGGTACTATGTAACAGATAATTACCCGGTTGGGTGAGTCTCATTTTCTCGTAGAAAAATTACTGCCATCCTTTGAAAGCTTTTTAAACCAGAGTTGCGGTTGCCTTGAAGTCTAATACTAACATTATCTTGTGGGATCAACAGAGCAGTAATAGATGACAGTGGGATTGACGTTTGGTATGCTACTAAAGGTGACTGCACCCCATCTAAAGGAACAACTTGCAAGTGGCATTATCCGAGCGAAGAAGAGATAAAGCTTGCCGAGGAGTTGGTAAATCTTCATCTGCGAGGATCACTGCAGGACCTTCGAAACATTTGTCAGGACGGTCCCCAGATTGATATTTCTGGTAGGTCGACTTCCCTTTAGTATGTTTTTTGTCAACGATCCTATTCAAATTATAGGTTGGCTTCATAGCAAGTGATACCTGGAGGAGGCATTTGTACAGTATCAGTCACATCATTCTAAATTAGTTTGGCTCTCTTGTTATGAATTTTATGCTGAACTGCTCGGTCCCTTGTTCGTCACTGCAGGGCATCAAAAAGAACATTTACGAGTTTTGCTCTTACGTGTGGAGTCTACTCTGTATGGGCTAAGGACCTGCCTCCCCGATTTTTCGTATCCGGCTGGAGAGTTTCCCATAGCAAGTTTAGCTGGTGTTGCTGGAGTCCCGATAGGAACTTCAGCACTGCGTGAGGAAGCTGCGGAGACTATCCATCAAGCTTGCGAGTACAGTTCACACTCTCTTAACAGTATGAAATTTTGGAGAATCGTGGAGTGGACTTTCTGAGCTTCTTACTAGTATTTAACTTCCATCACTTCTAGAGTTACAGTTTGTTACAATGGTATGCAGTAGTATTGTGGATCTACTAATTCAATTGTGGAATGACAATATTTGATGTACTTCAAATTTTTAGGCAGAGAACAAACTTGAACTTTCAACTTTTGACCTTGTTTTGTTGTCTACATTAGGTACATGCTCAAGAAGCGCGCAGACGATACTACGTTGTTAAAGTTGCTGGTGGGTGTCATCGGATCCATTGTAAATTATGGTGAGGCTCACTCATATTTTTGTTACGTTCGTTATTGTGCATGATGCTGTCATTTATCATTTGCACCATTTAGTCCACAAATGTAAGGTCTATGAGAGTCTGAATATGCAAGAATACCCTAGCTATTAACAATGGCGTTATATTTATGTAGTGGAAATTTCCAGCATATTTGTTTACGTAGCGCAACTCTTGAATTTTTTATATTAGTGCTACGCTACTGGATTACTATTCCAATTTAATGAATCTTTGCTTAGGAAAGCATAATAACTTTATCTTTCTTTCATAAAGGCTGGTACGACGGATTACTGAACCACCTCATTGTCATAAACACTGAAGCAAGTGGTTTTAAAGCCACGCGAGAGTACTTTTAAAACGATCCTCCTTATTTTCCAGCATCTTAGTGGCATTTACACTGTTATTTGTTGTAATATTCACAAGCAAGTCCTATGTCACTTGAATTGGATAAACTGCTAAAACTGGTCAATTTTCCTTATTAATTGTCTGAAATACTTGGTCTGTATGTGCAGGTAGTTCTGAATACAAATCATGGGCTGCGAATCGGGGGGTGTTGGATGCAGATGCGAAATGTGTTACAGAAACGCAAGTTAACTTCATCAATGGTGGCCATAGTCAACGGCGAAGAAGGTGTGGATCATTGCTTCTTTGATCACCTTAGAGGATTTGATCCGGCATTCACTCGTGATCGTTTGGTGCATTTATTTTCTTATATGACTTGATGTGTATTCACGTATTCCAACGCCTTCATGAGCATCTGGAACACTTGTAACATTTAAGCGCGCAAGTTTTTTTAATTATGTGTTCTGAGGAAAAATTTGAGAATTTTGAAGATAGCCAGATTTTCTTAGATTTGTTCTGTGCATCATCCTTACTTGTTTTTGGGAGTGAGTGGGGCAGGCCAATTTGGGTACTTGTAGAAAGGACTATGCTCCACTTCATATGGCGATCTAGTCAAGTAGGCTGGCGGGGTCACTTGTCCACTGCTCCAGACCATGTAGCGGTTCTATGCCAGGATCTTCTAGAGTTGTCTTTGCTCAACTACGCTGCTGTGCGCTCGTAAGTTTTCTGCATTTATTTTGCACCAATTGACTTTTAAAGTTGTTTTCTATGACGATTAGGTTTTCGATTCAACTGGATCATACATTTTTAGTGAAATATGAAGTGTTCCAGGGTTGCCGAATTTCTTTCTCGGAATTAATAGTCGCTGCTCTTAAATTTTCACTTTTTTCTTATGCACAGCAGTTTGTAGAAAGATGAACTTCACTTTGTAAATGCTGATGAATAAAGAGAGTTTTACCTGTGAAATGCAAATTAGAGCTGCTGGTAATCGTTTTGGAATACTTGTTCAGTTTTGCTGGAAGTAGACTCGAGATGCTCCTTAAGCGATTTCCTATGCTCGTGAAAGACTGTATTCCGAAGTTAACTGACGCTATACAAGAGGAAGCTCCAACAGAGGATGCAGCCTTGGGTGCATGCAACGTTCTCGTACGATCACCAGTCATGCGTTACCTTATGCAGGTTTGATATTCATGATTATTGTTTTTAGCGGCTTAATTTTATCATTGAATTCTTGTCAGCAGTTTCCTTTTGTATACATCGATCTGTTTTTGTCTTAGTTTTCGGGTTACCTAGGCCACAATGTCATGCTATAAATGCCTTGTAATGAAGGGTGTCTTTTTTAAGGTTATTGAATATAGGAACTATGATCTTGAGGTCTTTTGTATTTCCTGAATTTCGAATGGTTGACTTGTAGGACTGGGATGCAATGACATCTTTTCTGGTAGCTATTCTGAATAGGTAAATTTAACTTTCTAAACCCTTGCTTATCACACAGTTTTGGGTTATTTTTTATTACCCCATTATACATCTTTAATTATGTAGGTTTTCTGGCAACATTCTAGTGGCGTTCATTCCTTTCTGGGACAATCATGTCAAAAAGTCAGAAGATCGTCTTGGCTGTGGCACTTTTTGCCGCATGAGTGCGTGACTAACGGCTAGTGATTGTGCATTTAATTTCAGTGAGCATCTGGAGACTGTGAAGACGCACAATGCTATCAGTGAGGTATGTAAATCTTTATATATATCTTTCCTGGAATTCTTTATTTCGTTTCACATGTTAGTATTAATTTGTTTCTAATGTATCTCAAGATGATAGTTCATGCTAGGTTGATATCAGGTTGGTATGTCGCCTAAGTGTCGGTGTCTATTACTATGCAACCCGTATGTGTGTAGTCACTAGAATTTATAAAACCATGACATATTCATGTGAAGGAACCTCAATTTGAGTTATTCACATAATGGATATTGCACATTTGATTGGGGTTGACTTAAGAAGATTCTCTAATTTTCTTGCATCGAGGAGGATGCGCAGGTATTTTTTGTGTTCAACCTCTTTTTTCGAGGAGTTCCTGTACGAGCAAAAAGTGATGAGGAGGATTCATACCTCTCCATGATAACGCAATTGAAGGAGAAGGTTCTCGATACTGGCGATGCTGTTGGTTCAACACATTGGCGGTCAGTAAGGCTGTTTCTTTTCAAATGTTTCTACTGATGCTCATAGTGCATGGTTTAAAATCTCCAATTAATTCTCACAAATTGATACTATTTTTGGCCTTTACTTAAGCACCCACTATTATTTAATGAGATATATCTCGAATCTAAGGTGATTTTTAATTATAAGTTAAACTTCACAAAATTATCTACGAAACACAATAAAATCTACTTATCGAGTTGAATATCCCTACATTGTAGTTTCTATATTTCCACATCGAGGTTCCTCATCCTGCTCATAAACACCTTCGCATGTGAATTTGCCTCTAGAAGGTTTACACGCCCTAATTTTTAATTTTAGAAGTATTTCTACTATCATTTTGATTACTATTATTACCATCATATATTTTCAAACCCCCTAACGAAAATTTCTCGTTAAATCGCCATGGTGAGTTTCCATTTTAATTGTGATATGATTGATCAAGTAGGCTGGACATCCTACTTTTCATGCATGATCTAGTGGTAATCCTCCACTGACATGTTCAGTTCATACAGATACAATCTTATGGCTCATGGCATGCTTTTATTCCTCGTGCTGCCACCATCATCGTCAAACTCTCCGTTGGATGGATCTACTACGTCCAAGACCAGAAAAAGCATAGCTGGTACTTCACCATTTAATTTGAGCGTTTATTTTCAGCTATTTTGAAGACGAAATAGAATTTGAAGAAGTATTTCATTTTGAATAATGAGCATTCTTAATCTGCATGTTGCCTGCTGCAGGTGGATTTATAAATAACTTGATTAGCGATTTGCCAGCTCTGCGACCTTTATCTGTGATGGCCCTTATGTTTCTACTTCCACCTGCTACTCGGAAGACTTTAAGGAACGGAATGATAAAAGGGGTTGCAAAATCACAGAGCACAATTGATGAAAATTCAATGGAAAGCATCATTACGTCCGCTTTTCTTTCCCCGGACTTTGGTGCTAACGTTGTTAAACATCTAGCTCTTGACCATAATTATGCAGAGGGGCATTCTGCTTACCAATCTTCCAGCATGAATGACATGGGACTTACAGCATTGATGCCTTCTGTCAAGCGTCAATGGCCATACACTCGCACTTGGGATTCCAATTCTTCTGGGGAGCAGTTTCGTTGGTATTATGCAAAGCTGTTCAAGTCTCTAGTTCGAGAATCTGGAAATGTCGTTCTTCTGCAACTGAGGGCCCCTTTAGAAGAAGCTGCTCAAGCTGTTGAAGAACGAGGCAAGCAATGTATAACTGCAGAGATTGTAGCTGGATTGATACGCTCAGGTAAATTTTGTTTTATTTGAATTCTTTTCTATCAATGGAGTTTCGTGAAGCTTCATCTTCCTGCATTAAAAATTTGGGCATATGAAACCAGTTTAAGTGGTTTCGTATACGAAGCGGAAACTTCATAAAAAATATTATTACAAAAACTTCAAAACCTGACGATCAAACATATGGAAAATCAAAAGTCAAGAGCTTCGATTTTTGTAATTTCAGTTCAAGGTAGAATAAAAAGCATTTATCTTAATACGAACTATTGGTCATAGAAGCTAAAAACGCGGCTGGACGGATATGGTCACTGCCTTAATATGAATAACTTTCTTGCACACAATCTACTAACGTACTTTTTTTTTGACATATCTTTCAAATTGGAATAACCCTTCTTAATGTGATTTTTCGTTCTTTTGAAAAAGACTTGAACTTGTTTATCTGTTGTTTTTCAGATATGGCTTGTGTTACTGAAGCTTGGCACGATTGGTTACGGCCTCTACTGAGGAAGGTTCTGTTACACTCCACGGTGGAATCAGCAGTGGAATGGGCAGCATGTGTACGCTACGCAATTGGAGGGAAGGGTCGGTCGGGCCGACAAGTCCCTGTTCTCCGGTCATGCATTCTTGAATGTCTTGCTGACCCCTTGCCAGAAGGAGCAGCTACTAGTGTAGTGACTAAGCGTCTTATGCTTCTACAGGCTGCACTTCTCGAGCTTGGTCCAGACCAGGAACTTGAGTTTCAAGCCACACTTCTTACGGAAATATTTGAATCATATATGAATCATCCCGCGGCCCAGGTAATTCACATTTATGTACAACGTTAAATCGCGATCACTGCTGTTTGTGATTGCAGAAGTTTCTTCTTCTTCTTCTTCGTCTTCTTCTTCCTGGTTATTAATTTGTTTATTTATCTAAAGAAGTCATTTTAAGTCATCATCAGTTCTTGTGCCTGCACTCTTTTGTGATGTTCGAGACAGTTATATTTCTTTTTCAATCACTTCGACGAACTAAACCATGTGTCTATGTAATCTGCAGGTGCGAGAAGCTGTAGGTGGCCTGATTTGCAAGCTGGGCTCAAATTTGCAACGTTCAAGCAGTGAGGGACAAATACGCGTTATGAGTCTTGAACATAGTAAGGTTAAGGACTGGACTAAATTGCTGGTGGAGGGCGCTAAGTCTGCAGCTGCAACCATCCAAACCAAAGGGCTCATTCTCGAAAAGTCATCCATTGATAGTACGTCTAGTGAGACGTCTAAGGAAGCGCTCAAACGCATAGAAACGGTATCTTGACTCTGAAATTCTTGTACCTGAAGTTTGTTGATTCAGACAGTCATGAGTGATTGTGTTCCTAATTGGATCAACTGTGATGATGATTCAACTGTGATCCATTTTTATGTGGCTTCGAGCTTAGCTTTGTAGAGTTATGTTAGAACAATCTTAAAAGACTTCATAGCAGGTTTTGTCTTGGACTTTGAATTTTAGAACTCATCATCTTACATCTTGCTCAATTGATATTGCAGGCGTTTCACTTTGTAGTAGCAAGCGTACGATCTGGGAACGTTGCAGTATTCATGCCGGTGCTTCTTGACCTCCTCTGCTCCATCCTCTACATGCAGGTATTGATTTGGTCGCTATATGTTCTTCCAACCGAAATTTGTAATTTTGATTTATTCGATTGAGTTCACAGTTCATAATGCTGTCATTTTGTTTCAGGTGGGATTTTATGACTTCACAAAGTTTACTTCTGAGTTCTTTTTCGATATGTCATTGTGTGTGTTAGTCGATATAGTGGGTTGATCATTTCGAACGAATCTGCATGAGAAACCTACAGTAGTATATTCCTATGACATCATGCGTGGTCTTTCTTGTGCTTCCTTGTGCCTACTTTGAATTTCATCAAAGATATGACCGTGAGTATTGTATGTTAAGCAGGACACTTGGGATAAGGATGTCAAAGCTTTAGCGAAGTTATCCATGCAGTTGTTGATGTGGCAACTCTTCCCTTCCAAGCACTTGGAAGGAGTAGTATCAGCCATCATGTCAGCGGCTGCGCACACGAACTGGCATACACGTGTTGCTGCCTTGACTTTCTTACCACCAATTGTTTTCCGGTAATATATCCGTCTGAGAATTTGGGTTTTTTTCTGCGTTTACATTTTCTTCTATATTAAGTTTCTAATCTTCTATACTTAATATCAACATAAACTGCCATGAAGTTGATTAATATGAAAGCAATTAACTTCACGTAGACGTAAATTAGTGAAATACATTTAAAGAGTTTTTTTAAGCTATTGCTGCAAAATGGTTCCAATTGATGACAATGTAACGATCCAAATTAAGTAAAAGCTTTCGACTTGCTCTCATTTGCATAGTATGTCTTTACTACTGTTTCACAGTACCGGTAATCGCCTATATATTGCCTTCTGTCACGTGTGTTGCTACAGGTGAAAGTCCTGACTTTATTGAGCTGTGCAGGCATACCTTCATCATGAAATCATCGCATGTGTCAGCCTTGTGGAACCAAGTTCGGGGACTACTATCAGACTCACAGATAGAGGTATTTGGATGTTTCACGAGTGACCCTTACTTCTAGTTGGATTTTATTTACGGAATGGAAAATATTTCAAGAATTTTATTACATAGCTCCGTAATCTGAGTACACAATACGTCTATTTCTAGAGAAATGAATTATTTATTTCTTTGTCTTATTCTGTTTTAAATAGCTCTTCCTAATGCAGTAAATGCTTTCACTGTTTGCAGGTAAGAGAGCTAGCTGCAACAACCTTAGCAGGGTTAATGAAAGGTGCTGGTAGTCAGCTCGGGGAGAACTTTAGGGCAGAAGCTTACGATGCTGCTGTCTCACTTCAAGAGGCTAGCAAAGGCCTCAAGAGGTATTTTCCGTGAAACTTTTCTATGTATGCTCTCCTACACTGGGGAGGTATTCATTCGACGAGCCTAGGTTTAATGAATTTGCACCTTCTTACTTTTACTAGAAGATTAGAATTAGCTAGGATTCTATGAATCCTTTCGGGAAGTACACGAACTGAACTTATAGTAACAATTTATAATCTAAGAGGCACTTGAATTGGAAACTGAACATGACATAAATGTGTGATGAGAAGGAGGAGGGCGGAACCCGGTACCATAGCTTCTCGACATGGAGTTGTCTTGGGTGTTGCAGCTTGTGTACTTTCTGTACCGTATGACATGCCTCAGTAAGTTTTCTTTTCATATATTTTTGAAAGCTTTTTGTACATTCGAAACGCTGTTTGAAGTATATGTGGCTCTTTTTTACACCAGAATAATTGCTATTTTTGAAAAAATCGATCACATATCCCTGAAATTCGTCTTGTGAATTTGTTTGTATTTCAGATGGCTTCCAAGTATGGTGACAGTGTTGGCCCAGTTCAATCACGAGAAATGGCCGATTAGCGCCACGGTAACCAAAACCATAGCCGACTTTAGACGCACCCATTTGGATACGTGGGAATTCCAAAAGCTACAGTTCAATGAGGAACAGTTAGAGGTAATTCTTTCCAATCCATACAAACTCCACGTTACGAGGGTTTGAAACTTGCATCCTTTCATTGCGCTTTATGGCATGTTCGTCTGGCAAGGTTGTTGGGTTTTTCTTTATCGTAAACCAAAAACTGGTAGACGGTCAAAGTTTGAAAGTGGTCTGATTTCTTTTCGCATTTACAGGTTTTATCCGATCTGACGTCATCAGCTTCTTACTTCGTTTAGCATGATTGAATATTCTAATCTATTTTTAGAACTTATATACACATTTATTTTTCAAATTTATCTTTTTAGATCAAAGTCTTTTAATCGCTCGCAGCAGATAAATCATTTCCCCTAAATTTGGGTTTAAAATGGCATATTTTCATCTATTAACGAGTTTTGGATGCGAGCCCAATTTTTACCAGGTTGTTTTACTTTCCATATTTCGTATTGAAGCCTCTTATGTGAATGGATATAATGCAGGACATTGTTCTATTTGTCCTACATTGAATAATATAGGACATAAAACTTCCACCAGACATGTAAGATTTCAGTAGATATTACAATAAAATAAAGAGTAAACTAAAGTTTATTCTTTCTCCTATTAAGATAATTGGTATTGTTTAACGTGCAAAACCCTTCTTAGTGAGAAATTTGTTTCTTACTGTTTCTCTCTTAATTCTTGTCTTAATGTAGGACACAATCTTGATTATTATCTATGATAAACTAATTAGAAGGGTTTGGATACAATGTTTACTTGATCTAAATGGATACTTTGGATTTTTGTTTTTTTAAGTGGTTATTGAAAATATATACATATACTTCTAAAAGTGATAAAATTGTTTTATTTTTAATAATGTGGGTGACGTGATATAAATGAAAGATAAGTTTTTATCACTTCCAAATTTTTAAAAATTGGAATATTAAACAATCTTGAAAATACATAAGAATTGGCAAATAATGGCATCTAATATTTTTAGTAGTTTAGTGAATGCAAGCTTGGAAAAATAAAGTAATAAGTCTTGTTGAAAGAAGAATAAGCTCTTTTTAATTTTGATCTTAGCCAATAAGGTATGATCAATTGAGATTGTTTCAATATTATACATAAAGTTAGGATCCAATAAAAGATGGACAAAGTCTAGGAAGAAGAGTGATTCATCAATGGAACATGGAGGTATTTTAGATAAAAACATGCACAATATACAATGAATACATAGCTTAGTACTAATAAAGTATATTCCAATACTTACTAAGACTTGTATGAGTAGACAATTTTATATTAGAACAAATCCATATAATGTTTCCATTTATTCTTATAATTATGGTTTGTTCATGTTTTCATTAGGTAGCATAGGATTTGTACCTAGCTTGTTTCTTAACTCTATATTTGTAGAGGAATCCCTCCTTCCGCGTTTAGAAAAGCCAAGCCATCTCAATGTTTAAACCTTGAGTTGATTTTGTGTATATTGAACATTATGGCCAATTAAGTTGATGTTGGTGAGGTCAAAGTACAAGTTACAATGAATTAAATTAAAGCCTAGGATTAGAAATAATACTGGTATAGTTTTAGAATCAATTGGTTGAAGATGGAACCAATGCTTTTTTTCATCTGCTATTGTCATTTGATAGGGTCCCATGAATTTAGTCCAAAATTTGACCTTCTTTTCACATTTTTGAACTTTGTTGATATTAGCATGAGCATGAGTGCCTAAATAATCTTGGTATTAGAGCAATCTATTTAACAAAGCATGCAAATTAATAGGTTCAACTATCATTATGGGTAGATTTAATGGTACAATTGACAAGTGTTACTTTTGATTATACAACATCTTGAAAGGTGAAAAAATTGTGCTTAAATGTACACTTATACAATAGGCATAGACAATTGTAAGCAATGTTATATACTAATACATATAGTAATTATTATTTTTCTCAATGAAGGAATATAATATTTAATTGAATCTCCCAATCAAATTTGCTACATTGAAAATGATAAGGCAATGTAGTAGTATGCTTGATATGTAGATGAATAACAAGGACTTCTATTAATGGGTTCCAAAATTTGTTCCTATTATTGGTTGATATTTTGATGGGACTACTATGCCACATCATAATAGAGTCAAAGAAGAAATATGCTACTGTCTTATAATATTTGGATTTCAAAGCCTAAACTTCTACCCACTTTGTGAAATAGCATGTGGTTACAACATATTTTTGGCTTTCTATTGTTGTTGGTAATGGCTTCATGAGGTCCATTTCAATACACACAAAGGATTTTTAAATGGACATAGAAGTCAATATTTTTAATTTGATGCTCTTATCATATGTTTATTTTACTTGGCAAGTTGGACATTTCATGATGAAAGTCGTGACATCACTCACCATATCAATGTAGTAGTATATTTCTTATAATTGCTTAAGAATTCAATGTACTACAAAGTGCTTCAAAGTATATACTGCATAAAATAGTTTGAAACTTTGTAGAAGATTGGAGACTTAAGGAATTTGTAAGATGTGAATGCCTTCTAGAATATTTTTTTTATAAGAAAAAAAAACCATCTTTCATGAGATATTCAAAAAGATGGTACCTCACTTTTTTGGCTAGAGCTTTATTTAGCCAAATGGTGATTATGCAAATTTGGCAAGCCTCCATGACTTCATCATATAATCTTGTTTCTATCATGTATATTTATGTTGTATGTTGAGGAATTTGCTTTGTTTAAGAATGGAGTCAAGAATGCTTGCCTCAATGTCTCCTTTCTTTGATTATCCCAGTAGATTGTTACAATAATAAAGTTTTAGTCAAGGACATAAAGCTTGAAAAAGAAATCCTCAATATATTCTTGTGTCACTCAAAAAGATAAGAAAATCACTCAAAGATGATATAATATTAAATTAAAATGGCTATTGCTAAAGATAAAAAGACTTAAAAAGACTCGAAACAAGACTAATGACTAGAAGGTATTCATAAGAATGAAGAAGGCTTCACTCTTGCCTCCATATATATGTTTTTAATTAAGAGCTATGTAGCTGTGTCCTATAGGACTTCTAAAATATATTGACTTTATAAGACACGTATCTTAACTTGCAAGGCAAGTTTTTTATGTGTCCACTACATAGTTAGCTTGTTTTGTAAACTATCAATACATGGATAACTTGTTGATCAAGTTTTTAACCTACCAATCAACTATAAAAACATATAAAGTCAAAGCAACATCTATGAAGCTTCTAAGAAGCTTCTCTCAAAAGTATTATGAAATAAATTTATTTTTAATTCCTTCTATTTAATCATATAGATAAATATTAGTATAAATATATATATTCTTGACATTATATTTCTTTTTAGAAAAGAATTCCATGAGGAGTAGTCATCATATGTTGAGGAAATCTAAGATGTGATAAATTGTGTTTGCTACATACTCTGATCTTTGTTCTCTTCGAAAATAGTTGATAGGTCCTCTTAGTCATTGATAGTATTTTATACTAGGATAGGAAGATCATCTTATTATTTAATTATTGTTGAGGCCTTTGTAACTCCCTTCAAATAAATCATTTGGAACATTATTAGGAGTCATTTCAACTTCTAATATAATCACCAAACATTGGAAGTCTCTTCTAAGGTTGAGATATCGAACACATTATATCTCACCATCTATTCGAGGAAGGACACGTCATTCTAGAGGATCTTTATCTCGATTATGTCATCTCGAAGGTTGTGTTAATTGTAATATTTTTTCCAATGTTATATGATAATACAACTATATAGTGAAAAATAAAATATGGATGTTATTATAGAAGAACCTAGCAAAAATATGTAGTAACAAAATAAGAATAAATAATAGAAAGGTAGTAAAAGATTTAGCCTTAATGCTACCTATTTGTAGAAGGGACTTCTATTTATTTTGCATAAATGAAGCAAATCAAAATAAATTAGATAAAAAATGATATAGGCATGTGTAAGAGGGATTTAAGAGTAGATTTTAGCAAAATTTACTTGAAGAAGCTTAGAATTGATATCAAGAGAGGATTGATTGTCAACTTGGATCAAAATTAAACTTTGAAATATAAAATTATACTCTTATGGTGATTCTAGAGTTCTTTAATAGATCAAAAGTGATATTTGAGAGCAAACTTGAGAAGATACTTTTGAGCATTGGTTTTATATCAATTGAGTCAATATTGAATTTTTGAAAGATTTTCAAAGTTACGAGTATTTTTGGTTGATTTAGATTTTGAAAAATAAAAATATGTTTACAAATTTGAAGATTTCTTGAGTTTTGTGGTGTGTATATGGATGAATTTTGGATAGTGCATTAGTGTATTAGTTTTTAATATGTGTTCAAATTTTGAAGTCAATCAACAGTTAGATCAAAGTATATAAAGATTTTTGTAGGTTGAAGTCTCAAAAATTGAAGTTTGAAGATTAAAAAATATTTCTAAGATCTTTAGCAATTTGTCAATTGGATTGAAATGATTTTTTTTATGTGGATACTAGATTCAATTTTTAAAATTTTATTTAAAAATTGGAAGCAATTCAATAATTCAAGAAGGAAATATTGATATGGGAAGTTCAACATTCAGATTGGAGTAGGAGGCTGCCTAACACCAAATTGAATTATCCTATATTTCTTTCAATTTGTAAGTGCAATTGATTTCATCTTTCTTGTGCTTTTTCTTTATTAAGATATTAAAAAGTGTAATAGTTTTGAATTGATATCAATGATTTGATCATTAGTTGTTGGAGTTCCAATTTACTATAGGATTTAGTTTAGGATTTGCCTATGGTTTGGTTAGGACTTAGGATTTAGTTTAGAGTTTGGTTAGGATTAAGATTTGCTTGGAATTTGGTTTAAAACTTGACTAGATATTGATTAGGATTTATCTAGGGTTTGTTTAGGATTTAGGATTTTATTATGATTTAACACAGGATTTGATTAAGGTTCAATTAAGGTTTCAATTAGGATTTGACTTAGGATTTGTTTAAGGTTCAATTAGAATTTTAATTAAGATTATATTAGAAAAAATAATTTTAGTATTTATTTAGAATTATTTCTCATTTTTTCATATTTTCTATTTTTAATATTTCTTTAAGATTATTATTATTTCTTTAAAGGTTTATTTTTATATTTTTTAAAGAGTTCTTATTATTTTTCTTTAGGAGTAGTTTGGAACTTCTTTGTGTGTCTTTTATAACTTCTTTTAAGTTTTTTTTGGATTGAATAAAGTTCAATCAAGATTATTAAGATTTATTTAAGGTTATTTAAGATTCTATTAAATTTTATAGGATTATTCTTGTATTTTTATTTACCTTCTGAAATTACATATTTGGTGCATTTTTCAGCAAAAACACACGTAATATAACATCAATAAGTTGAGAAGTTATAGCTCTTGAGTTGAATCTGTTGGTTTTTTTTTTTTTTTTTTTTTTTTTTTTTCTATTTTCTTAGTATCACAAATGCACAAAAGTATCAAACAAGAGTAGAAGGTAGAATGCTATCTTTTATGGATCTTGTTTCTTTTATAGCAAAGATTTGTTATTCTTCATTTTGATTTTGATGAATATCTTTCATAAAAAATCTAAACCTTTTTTGTTGCATTTATAAGATTC